CCACCAATTATTCGTTGCGTCAATTATTTAACGGGGTCAATATCCGGTGACAGTCGGTACAAGTAGTTTTTACCGTTAATGATTAGGACGTGGACGATCTGAAATCCGACGAAATTCGAAGTTATTTGTTGTATGTATCGTGTTTCGTTCATTCATATGTCATTTTTGAAATTAAATTCGAATATATCGTCAAGAAAATGCGTGAAACAAGCTTAAACTATACATATTCTATTACATTTATTTTACAATTCAAACTACATAATATAACTTTTCAATAATGCATGTTTGTACCGGTATATTTCTACTTAAAAAAGAATGGTTCATCGTATATTTCCGAGTAACCATATTCTTGCTAACCCTTTCGGTCGTCAGTATTTTACCCAGTTCTGGGTCCTGATAACGTAGTTCCTTGGTATGGATGACATAATTTCCATGTTTGTTTACATGTAAAGAATTATGTTGCAATAGTTTAAAATTAAATATCCATATTATGTTGTAAAAAATAAAAATTATATCGATATCTCAAAGCGCTTAGCTTCGAATATTGCCAAGGAACCGTTATAATTTTGTTTTCTGTAATCAATATTATTTGCTATCAATTCCACAGAATCGTTTACTAACGCGGGAGCATAGGAGTCGGGCACTACCTCTCTATTCCTCTCTATTCTATTTATTCCAGACCTTTTGTAGAAAGACCCGACACCGCTCAAAATGAACAAAATTAGTAATTATCCAGTTAGGCTTCTTCAATTTTGGTGTGCGACGACCACATGTTAGAGATGAAGATGGATCCGGGGGGAGCTGAGCACGTATTTTCTATAATGTTTCTAAACGTAGCGAACGCGCAATTACTAAAAACGTGGCGAGCGCAATCCGCAGTACTCGAAACGTGACTTGGGTGTTTTCCTCAAATCTCATATTTATGCATTAGTGGCGGGGGCTATTTACAAAAAAAAAACTTTAGTCCATTCGTATCTAGTTCAACAACAAAAATTGACAGATCAATTCAAACACAAAAATGAAAAACATCATGGTTCTTTTGTTGACATATTTTAGAAGAATGGGTAGCGTCCGAGAAATTTCATGATATACTGAGATATCGTGGTCATTTAACTACGTAGCGATTCATATGTTTCCGATTGGATATAAAAATGATGTGAACCAAGAAAATGTATCTAATTATTATACCTACACACCAATTCATTACTCGTTGAAATTATAATACAGTGTAAGTATTGAGGCAGTGGCTACTCTAACAAAAAAAGTAATAAAGAAGTAACGAAGAAGTAATAACTTTTTCACATGTTGGCGAGCGTGATATGACTCGCATTTTATTATCGCAAGTCTCGATCAGAACCGGTATGAAACACGATTCAGATTTTTGCATTTCTTTTGTAGTATGATTCACAATGAGCAACTAAAAATTGACATATCGTATTATTTTGATACAACAAAGCTATTTTTATTCTATGAAGCTATAATTTTGATTTAAACTCGGCAACATGACATGAATGATTTATTTGAATTTGCGACCTTTTTTAGGGAAGAGATACGAAGGGAGATATGTTCGTTGTTTTGCGTAATTAATATATTATCGTGCAATTTATCATGTATGTCAGATAGCTCCATCATACAGCCAATGTTGCAAATTACGGTATAATTCATGTATACAATTTTCACTTAGTCAGGGCTATTCAAGGCAAAGAAAACAAACAAATTCTTCGACAAAGTACGAAGTTGAAAATAATGGATATATAGTAAACATCCATAAATTTAACTGGTATTTTTCAGAATTGTTGTTTCACAAAATCTCATCTATCTGCAGGTGTTGCCTATATTGTAGCTCATTACAAGGACATTTTGCGACCTTATCGTATGCGTTTTGCGTATTATCGTAGAGACAGTTACATTGTAAATTCGTAAATTTACAAATTTTATCGCTGTGTAATTTGAAAACATCCTAATGCCAATTGCGCGGAAGGGCGTTGTTACAGATCTCGGGAAACGAGGGCAAATTGCCTTAGAAAGGGAGATAGATGGTACATGAATGATAATGAACAATTTTTCGTTTATATTATTCCTAAAATAAGAATCACTTTCGCAGACAACGGGTGTTTTTACAAGATCGAACAACGAGAATGAATTGTTGTCTTCGTTTGACAGAAAATTGAAGTCAAATAATTTCGCTTGAGCTGAGATTTCTGCCCTATTATATACATTCTATTTTTTATTTATGACGTAGCGTTGCTCTTTTAAAAAATAAATGTTGATCTATATGGTGAGAGATGAAACATTTTTTGAAAAACTTGTTTATGCACTATATATTCTAAAAGTGATGGATTGCCATTTGTTTTACCTAAATTCTCCGTGAAATTTTGTTCTTTATCGAACCTCAAAACGGCACCTCATTTATAAAAATAGAAACATACGTATGATATTGTTGTTTTAGGGAAGCTAATAGTTTGTCAGAATTGGACGTAATCAGCGAGTGCACACACCAGGCCATAAAATGGCCACATATTTCAGTCACCCATAACAAGACTAACTTTTATTAACACTACTCGAGTCCGTAACTATAAACATAATAACCTAAAGCTCTTCATAATTTATTATTCCAGAGAAAAATTTGAGATAGATTATTATATCGAAGGTTAAAAAGCTGTTATATATTACAGCTAATAAGAAGATTCTACAGATATTGAGTATTTTAAATTGTATTGGGTACTTGAAAGTATATATATTATATGAGTTGTCACATTTTATGACAATACAGTGCGTGACGATACAGTGCATTGATTCTTTTGATACGACCGCTATTAACGTCTTTTAATCCAGTGTCTGCATATGTTTAATAAATTCAATGTTTAATATATCTAAAGCATGAAATTTAATTTAAAATGAACTTAAGAATACCCCATGGATGATTCAACGGCTCAAAGATATCGTTCATCTGTGTCATCAAATAATTGAAGTAAGAATGACTATCAAAAAGATCACCTTTATTGTGTTCAGGTGATTTAAGGTATTTTATAGGATTCTTAAAAACAACGGCAACTTCAATGTCCAGACTTCAATTTGATGAAAACATTGGACAAAAATTGCTTAAAAGAGAATTACGTTGTGATTGGATATAACTGAGTTTGGCAGAAAGAATAGAACATGAGGAATTTGGCTGACGCAATCATATACGTATTCGACTTTACATTCATTCAGACCTGGTGTGTAATAATAAACCTAACATTTCGACCATTTCGAAGTGAATATTGAGTAAAAAAAAATTTTATCACTAGACCAGTAACCATCGATGCTTGAATACAGACGATCACTTTTGAATTAAAATCTTCTGTATGATTATCATTTGTCATTTAGTTTTAGAGCATTGAAATTATCAATATATTGCTATTTAATATCCCAAAAATAGTTATTTGCGGTTCATTTCATAGCCTTGAATTCCGTTATTTAATATCAAACAAGTAGACGACACCTGTACTTCTTCGTAATATTACGTATATTCAATATTCACTAGAATAAAGTCAATCAAAGGTCAAACTTACGCAACGATCATGGGAACAACAGACCATCATTGTCGCCCAAAGTTAAAGGAAGGTGGTTGTTAAGCGATTTCTGATTTTATCAGTAAATGTCAATCATCTAGGGCAGATGGGTGAATTCGCTAATCACGTAAAATATTACGTCGAAGTACATTCTATAGTACAGACATTACGTGAAGAAAATTATGGAAAACGGTTAGACATTTACGCATTTTAACACAAAAATTATACATTTGATTCAAATCCACAATATTGTTAAGGCCATTCATAAAACATGCTTTCATAAATTTAGGTTACCTATGTCTCATGCATGTTCGGGAACTTTTACGAGTAAAAGGGATTTGTAAAATAATATTTCATCTCAAGAGAAAGTATCTGGGTTTGTCCTAAACCAGACAGACGGCTACTTCGCCCATGTCCTATGATTATCTTCCACAACAAAGAAGAAATGCTATAATTGGACTTTCCCAGGACAATGTTCTATTCCTGTCTTATGAAAATGTTCCAATTTGGTCATAAAGCCTTTGGTCTATTATCTCGAACATCTGAAAGTGATATTATTTAATAAATTCCATCAACTACAAAAGTTGTTGCAAGCCGACCAACAGTCAAATCACGACAAATTACCCAAACAACATCCCAAGACTACCACACCCCAAGTGTTTTGTGCCATAAACGCCACATACAGCATAATATATAGTACTGTGATGGATAAAATCAACTGGTGTAGTAACCAACATTCATGCTGAGGAACGCAATCGCGATTGCACCATCGAGGTATGTAATACAGTGAGCCTTATTACGGATTTCACTGCAAAAATGTGAACGAGTATATATAAATTGAAAATGGAGAAGTATTTGAATTTTCCTCTCACTATTAAAAAAATTAAAAGATACTAATATTTTCAACATATTTGCCCTAGCATCAATTGTGATCAGACAAATTGTGAGTGGGTGATATCACTCTATTACGCAACTACTTGATGTTTTTGCGTGGTTAATTCCAAAAATCACGTAATCAACGAAAGCGTATGTTTACGCATCGATACTTCATCAGTACCGGGTGATGGAGTTCTTCCTGTTCATATATTCGATTATGGTTTTTCTGTTTGAAAGAAACTCATGCTGTGCATAATTTATAATTCATGTTTGAGAGTTGTGAAGAATTTTTCTGTCAGGCCTTAGTTCCGCTCGGGGAAATCAAGTTTTCTCATCTGAAACTTTTTTAAACTTGAAAGTCGAAATAAAGGTAGATAACTTGGAATGCGTTTTGAAAAAGTGTTCTTAAATTAGATTTGAACACAAGAATGTAGTCAGCTTCCATAGCAGAAAATTTTTAAATTATTTGAAAATAAAATTCATATTTTATACAAACTGGGTATTTTATTATGACGTCACTATTGAAAAAAATGATCTCAAATATTTTCATCAACCAAACATAATAATATTTTGCTTCCCAAAAATGGGGAATAATGTATCGGCGTCCACAGAATCTTCCTATTTAGCGTTAGAACTCGGCGATAGTACGGCGGCAATCAGCAACTATGAAAGCAAACTATCAGACACGTCGGAAGCTGTTCGACCGAGGAAAAAAACTAAAATTTTTAAATTTTTCTCGAAACCAGGTATGTGATGTTGGCCATGAAGCCAAATAGTCTATATAAAATTTCCGCAAAAATACCTTTAATACAAAGAGCACGTGGAGATATACTGAACGTATTGTTAAAAGGGCATTATTTCTCTATTCTGATATTGAAATCGATTAATTTTTTGAAAAAGTTAGTTGCTTCAAGTTCAATTAAAGCCGTAATATTCAACAAACTTTTTAGTGCTGTGCGTTGAATTATTGGACACGAAGTGGACATAACGATCGTTTCAATATTATGTTGTTGTTGTTCTTGTTGGACACGAAGTGGACATAACGATCGTTTCAATATTATGTTGTTGTTGTTCTTGTTCTTTGACACGTTTTTAAAAAGTCGCTTTTCTCTTCGAATACTGGACCAATTGCTTTGAAATTTTCAGTGGTTGAAGATTAATTTTTTCGCTAGAAGGTTATTACTTTTATTTATTTCAAAATTTTGCGTGAATTCTATGAAATTTGATATTTCGTCTAAAATTTCGCTGTATTATTTTTTATCCATGGGAACACGGATTTTAGTCAGTGTCATGACTGGCTGTACGTTTTGATTCTGCAAAAATCTTGCTACTGGAAATTCAGAACTTTTTTGAGGGTACCGGTAGCGTCAAAGGTACCGGTAAGGACTGATTCGCTCTGGTCTGACGTGTCCATATATTTGTGCGTAGCTCTCTTGTTCTTGTTCTTTGACACGTTTTTAAAAAGTCGCTTTTCTCTTCGAATACTGGACCAATTGCTTTGAAATTTTCAGTGGTTGAAGATTAATTTTTTCGCTAGAAGGTTATTACTTTTATTTATTTCAAAATTTTGCGTGAATTCTATGAAATTTGATATTTCGTCTAAAATTTCGCTGTATTATTTTTTATCCATGGGAACACGGATTTTAGTCAGTGTCATGACTGGCTGTACGTTTTGATTCTGCAAAAATCTTGCTACTGGAAATTCAGAACTTTTTTGAGGGTACCGGTAGCGTCAAAGGTACCGGTAAGGACTGATTCGCTCTGGTCTGACGTGTCCATATATTTGTGCGTAGCTCTCTTGTTCTTGTTCTTTGACACGTTTTTAAAAAGTCGCTTTTCTCTTCGAATACTGGACCAATTGCTTTGAAATTTTCAGTGGTTGAAGATTAATTTTTTCGCTAGAAGGCTATTACTTTTATTTATTTCAAAATTTTGCGTGAATTCTATGAAATTTGATATTTCGTCTAAAATTTTGCTGTATTAATTTTTATCCATGGGAACACGGATTTTAGTCAGTGTCATGACTGGCTGTACGTTTTGATTCTGCAAAATTCTTGCTACTGGAAATTCAGAACTTTTTTGAGGGTACCGGTAAGGACTGATTCACTCTGGTCTGACGTGTCCATATATTTGTGCGTAGCTCTCTTGTATTATGTGCGCTTCGATTTGTTGATTAAATTTAACAAATAACTACAAAAAACTTTTCCAGGTATATTTCACGTAACTTTATTCGTCCAACACGTTAACGCTATAAATCGATGTAATTCAAAATACATATTCTATCAGAACCTGTCAGAAGCGTGAGAACACAACTTTTCAGAGACCTGGGTGTTCATGCAGCCAGTCATGTGCAATATCCACATCTTTCCGTCGAAAATCCGACTCCGGAACTTGTTCAATTGCGCCGCCAAGTGATGAGTATGGCTAACAATGTGAATCACCTTGGCGATGAGAGTGAGTCCATGCGTAAACGAATTGCGGAGATGAAGAAAAATCTGAGAGACGCTGATTTTGGACTCGGAATTTTACGACGAGCTCAAGAACAAAGCATCAAAAAAATGCTAGATTTCACTGTGAAATCAAAGCGCGTACAGGTACTGGTTTCGTTTGTTATCTAATACTCTAATACTAATTTTATATAGTAATTATCCAAGGATGAAATGTGAGATTGGAATCTTGTCTTCATGAACAACAATTTTTTTTAGATACACCATAGTCAGCATAGTGTATTTTAAATATATTTTAGGGATTACAAGGGCAGGGTTGAATGAAAATGAAACCGACATCAAGATTTTAAATTTATAGATATATTCTACCGATCCGCATTTTGTACGACACGAAAGAGAAGTTCAGACGTGGAGTATCGATGAAATTTTGATTATGTATGCCGCAACTAAATTCATGAAGCAAGATATAGTCATAACAAAATCAAAAACAAACATCAACTCAGTTTCAGGATCCATTACATCTGGAGACGAAAAGGACTTCATTGGTAATCAACCCTAGCCCATAGTGGAGTCAGACATTTAACATCAGTTTACTCAAACATTTCATATTAATTTGCCATTGTTTACAATATAATGATGATTATACCTAACCAATTATAGCTATCTTATTAGTAAAATAATTTTAAAAAGGCGCGTCACAAAAGTTCAAAGTCATCAAACTGTACTAATCTCCTTGGTTTAGTCTTACCCAACACAAATGAACTAAAAAGCCCGAAAATTAGTAAATAAAACTCTAGTTTGATTGGCTATCTTTGTTACATCGTGATGTACTACTTTCTTCAGAAAAAATATTAATCTAAATTGTTTATCCAATGTAAAGAGAATACGATAAAATAAAGCAAGTAACGTGATAAAATATTCTAAACAGCCTAATTATTTTAGGAGATGAATTAACACCAGAACAGATTCAATCAGTTCTTACAGTAGTTGCAAGTGGGTCAATTGAAATGGATTTGAATGTAAGCTCGACTATTTTTTCAGCGTAGGCTGCATTTGTTGTTTTGAGCTTCGTGCTAGGCACAGTGATCCAAAATAAATTGAACAAACCGCAAGTTACGTCAATCCCTCTTTTTTTCTTTTCCCCGAGTGTTTTCCGGTAATGAAAATAGTCGCTATGGGCTTTGAAGGTAGCTTATCAAAAAAATATTAAAAACTTCAGTATTTTTAAAGACAAATTTATATGTAGCCTATGTTTAATTTTCCACTTAGGTTGTGATAATATACATGCATATACGATGCGGTTTAGTTACTGGTATGTTTTAGCTTTCTCATGCAATTTGCAGCTTCTAGTGCAGTTGTTCTCAAACTTTTTAAGCCGCGACCCCCCTTTTTGGAATTTGTCAAGGCTCGCGCCCCACCTAGCTAGCTAACAATAAGCTACAAATAACAGATAATAGGGCAAAACGTTATTTTATTCAAAAAACACGTGGATAAAACGTAAATAATAAAATAAATGAAAAGTTTTAAAAATAAGGCGGGCAAAATCAAATCTAACAAATATATTCATTTTCAATTAACCTCACGCCGCCTCAAAAAATTGTCTACGCTCCACTGTTTGAGAACCCTCTATACTAGCGGTTCACGTAAGGTTTGTCCAGAAAAATGATACAAAATCCCTTCTGCTATAATTTATTGTTATTTATTTACATCAAAAACTTAGAATATTTTCCATTTATCACGTTTCCAATATCAACTCTTTGCACACTATTCATAAATTTAGTAATCATTGAGAAAAGTTTAACTTGATTAAAAGATTGCTCTTAACGATTTAAAGAAAACATATATTCTGTCATTCGGTGTTGATTCCACTTGATAAAGTATTTCTGATTACAATTTGAATGAAGGGTAACTCGGACTTGCCTATATCAGGCCGAATAAGATTCTAATCAAATTTTCAGTTTAACAAGACGCACATAACGAGAGACAAATTCAATATTTTGACCCGTTTCGGTAACCCACTCATGTATTCATGGACAACAAATATATTAAAAAAAAGCTTCAAATGCCCGCATGACAGAAATCGTTGTGGCTCGATGCTAAAAACAACAACCTTCTATTTTAGATAAAAAAAGAAAGTGACTCTGACTCGATTGTTACACCACAAGACATTGGCGGACACGGTTTAAAATGGTTGAAACATGAGAATCCGAGAAAACATTTTTGTGAAAAACTGGAGGGAAAACAAAAGGAAAACGGTTCAAATGTTGCTTTGCCGATAGTCATGTTGATAGCCACTATAATAATGTATGCCACACTAGGATACCATGTGAGCTTTATCGGTGGAATATCAGGCAAGCAATACTTTAGATATTTTGTTATAAAATAGTTATATTGGTAGAATTCTATAAAACTATGTGTTCGAATTTGAATGGAAATTGTACTTTTTTGATGTTTTTTATTTCCTGCAAGAAAACGCGAACAATCTCAAAATCAAAGCAATTGCGCTGATGGAGAGACCAGTGTTACGAACTTGCGTAAAACTACATAAAGTTCAAAACGGATTTCTGAAATGCGAAGGAACAATTCACAACAAAACAGGCGAGTTGAATATTGTGGACGTATATATGCTAGAGATGTACCGATGTATCGGCATCGGGTATCGGTATCGGCAATATCGGCCATTTTTACGGTATCGGCCATGTATCGGTATCGGTGAGATTAAGGCCGATATTTCCGATATATTTACCTTTTTGATATGGTCCAGAATGTTTTAAAGATAAGTTGGAATACTACTTTTTAATTTATTTTTTGTCTGAAGAGATCGCGAGCTATGAGCCATACATGTCCCCACCCCCGCGAGAGAATAGGATTCACGTGTTTTTAGCTATTTATCAGCTCAACTAATTTGGCTATTTTCGCTGTCAAATTTTTATATTGACATTTTTAATATTACATAGTAATCATGAAGAAATATATCAACACGGCACATAACAAAAAGCAATTAGACGCCCAGTTTTAAACCATACAGTGGAATTGGGGTCCTTATTAACGGCACATGGACTTTTGGCACGGGTATAAATTCTGACTGTTTGTCGTCAAGTACGAGTGTCATTTAGTCCGTCGACATCAATAAACTAAATTCTGACACAATTATCCCTCTACGCAGGTATTAATTTTGATTAACTACACAATTTCTTTATAGATATATTGACATGACCGCCTAGCCCTAGACTGTCACAAAATATATGATAGCAATTGTATAATAATATAAAATAGTAAAGTAAAAAAACGTCCTCGACGGTTATAGGTAGGCCTTATTTTGGTCGGTGCTGATTGATATTCTTTCATGTGGGCTTTGACTTACCGGTACTTATTGCGTCGACGATTACGATTAGCCACGAAATAAAATATTTGAAAAATGCTTTTAATTTGATCGTAGGACGGCGGCTCTAGAATGTGTGGGTGATATTCGATATTCTTTTAAACACGAATAACGATTTTTGAATGTCGCGATATTAACATTAAATTCATATTGGACATCCCGGCTTATGAGTTTCAATTGAACACCGAGATTACTAGCGTTACTGTACAATGTATCTTGATCAGTTAAAGCATATGGATACCAAACATTAATTTCATATTATGCGACATATATATCTTTTTTTTTTATCTGAAATATTTTGTACTATGAACAACGCTCAAAGACCATTGTTTTAACCCGTCTGCCCTACACAACACACAATTAGGTACCTAATTAGGTAATATTCACATGGTATCGGTATCGGAATATCGGTAATATCGGCCTTTTTGTAGTATCGGCGTATCGGTATCGGCGTTTTTAGCTGGTATCGGATCGGTATCGGTATCGGCGACAAAAGTGGTATCGGTACATCTCTAATATATGCATGTTTTTAATGAAAGGAAAGTATTTTATAGTTTGGGTGTTTTACTTTATCAAATGTTAAGAAGTAATCTATTCAAGTGACCTTGTTTATAATACTGATTCAGCCTATCAAGTAACAAAAACTACTGGGCGAATTCCATAAGTACACGCGCTGCCCGTTAATATCCCACCAATACAGCCTTTATACTTTGAAGCACTGGACAGTTTACGAAAGCTTAGGTAATTATGACAATATTCATTTAAATCTCACATTGTACGTGTAAAGATGTCCTATAGACTGTGTTTGTACACTGCCATGTGGCACACCATAAGCTCGAACGTGGCACGACATTTTTGCATGATATTTTCCAACAAAATTTAATACTTGAGTTTCACTCTCGCCTCGAAGACAAGATGTATCCAATTTTGATGATAATGTATCTAATTTTGTTGAGAATCTATCCAATTTTGTTGTTGAAAAATGTAAAAAACTGTAATTTTCAATTTGCAAACACGTACAGTTGTGAACAGGCATTCTCAGTCGTGAAAATAAACAAATCTCAGTTACGGATCGGCTAGAATTCAGTGATGCGTATCGCTATTTCTCCTTTTATTTAGACTTGATCCATCAAAAAAGTCTTCAACAAAACAGTAGTTTTTCAGTAGATAGTTAGTCGGTATTGTGTATTGATTAAGTTTGTTGTTATGTGTTTTACTAAAGTTTGTTCACAATACCAACAATCATCGTCAACAAACATAGCGAGGCACGCGACAAAATTATTTTGAAAACTTTGGCACGTATGCTCATTTGAGTTGCGCACCACTGCTCTTTATACTGGACACATGTTGTGATTGTTGGCTACTTATTTATATTGGGCTTCACTTGGAGTTACATCGGATCAACCTTTAATTTATAATGTTGATGTCGTACACATACTATAGTAGTTTACTAGTCATATTACGCCTTATAGGAGGTTACCTTCCTGGTGCCCGTTGCGAATTCGACTGTGCAGATTGGCACAGAATGACGGGATTGAGAAATTCAACGACTTGTGCGCCAAATGGAAGATGGGACATGACAACTCCAACTTGTGTAAACACTCCATGTCCACAAGGTAAATAAATATGCTATATACTACAGTATATACGATAACTGGGACATTTCTAAATTGTAGCCTGCTAACAAATATTGGTGTAAAACTGTATAAACTGATTTAAAAGTTAATTGCAATCCGATGCGATCACCTCCGTTAATTCATTATTATCTAAATGAAAAATAATCCGATGCATTTCATTTAATCATTGTTATGATACCACCGATAGTTAAAGATCGTGACTGTGCAAGTTTATTCCGAAGTGGAATGACGACACAAAGCAGTGGTATTTATACCTTGGTGAACTGCCGAACTTTCAATTCCTATGATGTATTCTGTGATTTTTCGACAATGGACGGTGGTTGGACGGTTCTACAAATGAGGTGTTTTTTATATTTTTGACATGGCAAAATCACGATGAAATATGACCTAAAAATACTGTTTCCGTCGCCAGGACATATGACTTTCAGTCTAGATTTAAAAACGAGTGGCTTTTTGAAACAGTAAGACGCCTATAGGTAGCATAGTAACATAGGTTTAAACTGGTTAACATGAGATGAAATAACTGATATTGTGTGTAAGCGTCACAAAAACACTACCATACGAGTTGGATTTATAGATAGAAGTTTTATTCGTATAGTTTTGGAGTGGTCAGTGTGTCGGCTCATTTATGTCAGTCTCCCGTGTCAAAACACTGTATAGAAATAAACCGCGATCCAAGTGCACAGTTGTTCATCCAGCTTCAACATCTTAATACGAATGCTGCACCTTAAACGTGCGATAACAAATGGTTTGTGGACTATATCGCAAATTATTTTTAAACATACATGTTAGAGCTAAATCGTTATTCAACTAATATTTTGTTCAGAAAAAACGGTGAAGTAAATTTTGATCGTAACTATAAAGAATACACGAACTACTTTGGAAGCCCTCAATCTAGTTATTGGATCGGGTTAGAAAATATTCATCTTCTGTCAACAGTTGAAAATCAGCAGTTATTGGTCAGTTTTTTTTATGAGAAATTAGTTTGTTTGTAGCCTACATTTTAGTGACGTGGCTTAACATTACGTTTCGGCTTTGTAAAGAACTCAGCCTCTAGTTATCTACATTCTGCACAAAACGTTTACCGAATTCCAATTAATACACCCTTCCTTCCTTTATCCTCAAAAAAACTTTAATTTTTGTCTTCGACCTGTAAAGGTACAAATGACAGATTGGTATTACCCGGAATATCACAATGTTTCTGGTATTGCATATTACAAAAGTTTTAATGTTGAAGGACCAGATACAGGCTTTCGGTTGAGAATTTCAGACTTTGAATCAATGTTTTGGGGGCCATTTGAAGACGCCGGAGATAGCATGAAAACTTCTAACGGCATGCAGGTTGATAAATAATTCTACTAACTAACAGATGCACTGGACTGTTGGATTCCTTTTCTTCAAAATGTTGATATATATATGTTGCAGTTCACGACAACCGATAGCGATCGAGATTGGAACGCCCAGAACAATTGTGCTGTATTGACTGGATCAGCCTGGTGGCACCGCAACTGCTCAGATGCAAATCTTAACTCGTCTTTACAAAGTTGGTAGTTTGAAAAAAAGATTGTTTGTCTTTAATCACACTCTATTCTATTTGGCGATTCAACTGATAGTGAGACTCAATTGCAATATTTTTTGGAATTTGAATCTGCATGCCACACTGTGTCTTAAATCTAGAACGCAATATCGCTTACAAGAGTTCTCATAAATTGTAAAAGTCAGCTTTGAGTTTTTTATCTTCGTCTTGACACAATAAAATGCATGACCTTGTGTTAGTTCGCTGTTTTGTTTTTCCATGTACTTGAGAATTGTTCTATAAGTCTGAAATATTTACTTATTACAGATCGTCCAATTTATGGTGAAACGGCAATGTATTGGAAAACTTGGAGAGTGGAAGCAGCATTGAAATCGGTACGAATGATGATGAGACCGAATAATTGGCGATAGTGACCTTTTTTCAGTTCGGATTTATTTTTAAAATATAAATTTATTCGCGTGAATATTTTTGAACGAAACCTACAAACAAACGTACAGACTTACTAAGAAATGACAGAAATAACCTCATACTACATGAAGATCAAATTTTACAATGAAAAGATCGTACCAACTTCTGAATTTTAGTGTGCTGAGGACCAAAGGCTCAACAATAATTAGAAGTTTTAATCTGGCAGAGAAAAATCAGGGGGAAGAAGGTTTGGTCTTGAACAGTTATAAAAATCCTATCCGTAATCTATGATATCTTTCAAATCAGTGATTATTGAAATGCAATTAGTTTTAATTAATGTGACCGAGGATAGGTGAATATGGGTTTCCCGAATCGTGAAAAAATAATTTTGCAAAATTTCCTACAATTGCATTCATCTATCATACACATATGGATGTCCGCATAAATATATGCCCATTTCTATGAGACTGCCCAAGATCGTATTGAAAAAAGGAATATTTACAACAGGGAGTTTTCAGAAATAAATTATAATAAAAAAATTGCTAATGTCAGTAAATCATATGGTTAAATATACAAAGCTAGGCGACGTTCTCTGAATTTAAAATATTTCGACTTTTATTTTAATAAAATTGCACGAGTTTTTGCTTTAAAGTTGATTCTAATATTATGTAATTTTAATTTGTAAATAAACCTCTCAAATAGGATTTTTATAGAGCGTCAGATAATTTATATATAGACAGATTCTTCTATCATCAGAAATTGAACACTCCACTAGCTAACAAACTACGGTTAGACTGTCACACAAATTCAAACAGTAGATATGGAATTTTGCTGGCACGGTTTCAAACATGCTCTACTCCAGTGGTCGGCAACCACCGGTCCGCGGCCCATCGCCGGTCCGCGGAAAGGTTACTGCCGGTCCGCAGAGAGGTGACACAAAAACGGACAAGGCCGTAATAAAACCTCTACGATCTAACCACAAACCCTACGACTAAAAAACAGCACCCGACAGTAAACAAGACAAACACAAAACAAGGGGTCGGAAAAAATGCGGCCCGTGAGCTAATATGTTGCGGCCCTTGAACGACCCGACATCTAATAAATAAAACAAAAATTAATCCCAAATTTATTCTTGTCTCTACGCGGATTTACGTGATGACAAGTGCTGCTGCACGGCGCTCCTTATGTAACGTGTAAGTACCGTCAGTTGTATGTCGTTCGAGTTAATTTTGATTTTTAAAATTTGAAAATGTCTGAAAAACGGAAAGACGCGGGTCGAGCATTCCAAAGTGCTTGAACGGAAAAATATTTTTCTTTCTTGCGCATTCTAAAACCGGTTTTCTCGATATGCCCAGTCAACATCGCAGTTGTTAAGGGTTTCAATGTTAAACTCGTTACGAAACGACTTGTCGAAAATTCGACCCCGATACCCGGGACTGCGCCACAGCTCATATGTGCAACAGTGCAAAACGTGTAATGTGCACGTTCGGAAGAACATATGGTCTTGAGCAGCTTTAACTAAAATGCATTACACTTAGATTAAATTTTGTACTCGCTTGTCAGATCATCATTTGGACAAAAACATCATCTTTCACATTGATAATAAGTACATAAAAACAATGTATTGTTGGATAATAAAAAAAACGCCACATATACATCTCATTGGGACAGGCTTTCAACACAGCAATAGAAGGGTAGCAATGCGAATGCGCCATAATTTGAAGTTTAATTATGGTAGCGATTGTTTGAAGGCGGAAATATTGCGCCCACGCGCTATCAGAAATGTTTATATTCGGCCCGCAAGTACATGAAGTTTGCCGACCACTGCATAACACTATTGAGCAACAATGCAACATGTCTGATTTCATAAACAATTGCCATGTCAGTATGTCGCAATAATGCTGGGTCAATTGTTTTGTCTACGCCCCTATAAAAATGTCTCTCATCAGTCCGACTTAGATCTCCCCAACAAAACGATACAGGCATTGTTAACTTTCCCGACATCTTAATGTGAGGCCTGGTTTTCAATAATGATAACTACAAAAACAAAATAGGCTGGAAGTAAGAAACACGTTACGTGTCTCAATGCCGACCATATCTCGAATGGTCATCAAACAAATACAGACATCACTTCAAATAGCATCACCGTCGTTTTTAGTATATTGTCAACGTAAATTTCCTAATGCGTATAATTTATTGCATAGGCTTGGTTCGTTTGTATAAAGGTGGTCCGCCAAAAGTTTGGTCAAGCTTTACCGGTCCGTCACTTGAAAAAGGTTGCCGACCACTGCTCTACTCAATTCAAAAATTAATGACAAATTCAATTACACAAAAATAATTTCTAGCTTATATAAAAACTTCATATATACAGAATATTGCATATCCGTATCTTTTCGTAGACAATACAACAGGTATGTATATATATATATAAAAGAGTATACGCCCGCGTTCCACCCCGAAATACGTCTGTCGTTCATCGCCCTCACGATTGCAGTAAAGCCTCAGTTTCATTCTCCTAAAAAGGTTTCGAGCAAACGTTTCGCGGAAATTGCACCCATCACTTGATTTTCTTCCGGTTTAACCTCGAACTACTTCAAATGTCATGTTATCAGCTATAACTGATATTTACCTGTTAGGCTTTTCCAGATAAATTTCTGTGGTTTAGATACATTTGAACGGCCGCTTCAAATGTTCCTTGTTTTTATTACTATCAATGAATAGTTAATTTTAAATGAGTCTACGAGTGTTTATATTGATCGCGAAATACTCAAATACGTTGAAGAATGCTAACTTTCAAATTTTGCGTTTTTCACTTGATCTCCCGGTCTTTAAAGAGATTTAGCTCGCGGAGACCACACATAATATGCAATATGTATGTCGGAACCGGAAGGTCGCATTTTAGGATTTGTTTGATTCTGCCTAAATTTATCACACACTAATGGAATCATCCATTATCACGTGTCATGTTATTGAAAGTGCGACACGTACTTATGTCACTTGATTCACGCAATGAGATTATGGGACATTAAACAGACGTATTCCTGAGTTTACAAATCACACTTTGCCCTGTTTCGAATATATTCAAATAAATAAAAACATTATGCTTGGCCTTATGTGTACAAATATTTATAAACCGCGTTATGTTCTTTCCAAGTTTGTTCAGATCTAATGAACAGATAGATAGCTTTTGTTTATATGTTTTTGAAATAACTATTTTGTTTTCTGGTCAGTACTGGTCATTTTACATCTTTGATAAGATGTTGTTTGCGTAGAGCGAAATTTACGTCATAGATCAATATGTCGTACCGTCCAAAAATAACTTTAAAATCGGGGGGTCACTGATTTAAATATCCGACTGAGTATAAGATATATTCGAAACTCCAGAAGTGCTAAGCACGGGAAATGACTGGCAGAGATAATAAGCCAGTCATCGAGGAACTTTTGGAATTTGAAGAATTGATATGTCGCAGCGTTCTTCTGTCATTTACTGTATGTCACGATGAGAACTGCACTCTCAGTATTTCAAGTAGAGTAATAGTGTACAGTAATTATACGAAAAATTCACTAGAATTTAAATTTAATCGTGACAAAGTGTCGGGTTTTCGGGTATTGAAAATTACATTATGCGAAATCATTACAGATACTTGTGGTTTCGAGTGAATCCGCGACTTGGTGCGAACTGCTATGTAAAGTTATGAGAAAATGGGCCGTTATTCACCAGCCTAAACATTCTTATATAATGCGCTATCATTTTTTTGTCGTGTGCTTTCCTTTTTCCTCTAAGTATAAATATAAACGCAACTTGACCCGGAGTAGATAGCCGGAGAATCTAACATATTATATAGAGTGATTTTCAGGTGACTAGAAAGTGTTGAAATCGAGTTCAGGTTTTCTTTAGATTGTTTTTGTTCCCAACTTTTAGGCCGAATAGTATATAATTTTGTGACATAAATTTATGATAATATGTATATACATATCAACATTTTATTCATTTATTAAGAGTTCGAACATTAAACATTTTTAAACGCGCTGATTTTCATAATGAAGAAGCTATCACCATTGTGTTTATACTTTACGTTTGCAATTGTCAATTCTTTTGTGTTGGAAAATGACGTAGTAAATCTCAACATGAATGATAACGAAGGACACAATGATTCGGAGACAAATCAAGACCTTCTTCATCAATTGCCAGTTTCCTCTGGAGGAAGTAATCACCTAAAAAAGAGATCCGTTGATTTTGACAATTATTTCGACGAAGATGTTGATAATCCGTTTCAAAATTCTATGCCTCGGCATATGGCAGTGGGAGTTCGGCCTCCTGTTGAATTTGATTCGTTCTTCGGAGAAAATCCCAAGTCCCGATCAAAACCTTTAGTTTCGCCAGTAATATCATCATCAAATGAAAACGTTGTGGTTCCGCAATTCATGCTGGATCTTTTCAATCGCTTTGACCAAGACAAATCAATGCAACCAACATCTAACATCATTCGCAGTTTTCCAAATAAAGGTAAACTTTGAAAATTTATGCGCTACAGTATAAATGGCTTGTGACTATATTTGTTACCTTGTACATAGGCAAAATTCTTTAAACAACGAATTTAGCCGATTATATTGAATTTCTTGTTTGTTTGATCAGAGTTTATCATGTACTATAATCTACATGATGCTTGCTAGTGAACACTTTGGATATATTTCTTGTACGATATCAAAGTGACGGCTACGGTTAGCTGAAATATCCGACCTAAAACTTGATCACAGTTTGATTGTATATTTCACAAAATGTAATGTCACGTTTCACAATGGCTACGTTATTGACTGTAGTTTATTCGTGTTGCCATGTCGAACCCTCCCCCTGATTAGAATAGACCTGTTTTGTCCGTTTTGAAACCTAACCTAACGCTATTTTACAGCAACAATGAAACATCAGTTGATGTTCAATTCACAAGTTTCTGATTGTGACAGAAATCCACATGGACAAGTTTGTGTGACAAAGCGTCTCCTACTGTTTAATATTTCGTCAATTCCGTTGCATGAACAAATTACCCAGGCCGAATTGCGATTTCATTTAGTTTTGAAACAGTTTAGGTAAATGAATTAAATTTTTATTTAATCTAAGTCATAATGAAAACTTATACCTTATAATATTACCTTATGATTCAGAAAGTTCCAGTATTTCTGGTATTCTATATTGACCAATTATCTTTTTATATAGAAAATCGATATTTCATCAAAAATAATTTAAGGGTCTTGTGGAATTTGACACCGGAAATTAAAGACTTCGTCGCTCCAGTTATGACCACCAAGCTAAATTTAAATAAATCACTTTCCTAATATTGTGGTGGTGCTGGTGCTTTACCTGTGACATTATGTTATATATGACTAGGTGGCCTGCAATTGGCGTCGATATAAAAATCGAAATCATTGAAGTCAATTGTCATAACTTAAAATCAAATACGTGGAGAGAAGATTCTAATCGATTCTGCAAACAAGACGAGCTGGACATTCAAAACGCAAACAGAAGGTGAAATATATCAAATAATACAAAAATATCATAGCTTTCAGCAATCATAAGTAGTACTCAAGAGTATGAAACAGTGATATATTTTTAATTGACGTTTCAGTGACGCATGTAAAATTTAATGAAAACCCAAAATTCTAAGCAGCTTGCTGTTTCATTGTATAAGCGATTAGCTTATTCTAATTCCTTTTATATATGGAGATGTGATAAAATGTACTGCAATACAAATATGAAATTCATGTTTAAAAGGAGTTTAGCTTTTCGCTCGTTATTGCGCTCTCATATTTTCCCTCATCATATTCTATCAAATTTGTCAATGAATATAGAGTGATTGATACACGTCAACAAACAGTTCGAAGGGATGGGTGGGAAACTTTCGAAATAACTGGAGCAATGCAGAGTTGGATTCGCAGGAAGAAACTACATCAACTTGAAGTTCACATTACAATGATGGATACTACTGATGGCATTGTACGTATTCCTATATATGACCTGCATATGATTGCATAGAAATTACTCGCATATACTTGTTCTATAGAAAATTTCCATACAAAATTACCTAAATTTGAATTGAGTTTGGTATTCGTAATCCACATTGGTCTAAGATGAAAAACATGTGTAAACTACATTTTAGATTGATATTGATCCCGATCCAGCATCTCCGCGAGAACCTCTGCTTGTTGTTTTCTCCGATGATACAAGTAGAAACAGACATCTTGAACATAGGGACGAAATGCGTGAAATGTTGGCGCATCAGACTGACAAGTCACTGCCTGTTACACCAGTCGATTTTTACGAATTTGGGACAGTTGATTATAAACGTAAGAGGCGTTCAATCATAGATCGAGATATCGATATTGAAGTTGGAGGAATAAAAGTTCCAGTGAAACTTAGAGATCCAGAAGATGCAGCACCATTAGCATCCAAACGCAGAGAAAAACGCTCAACAAGTCATGGTCCACACTGTCACAAGGCGGATATGTATGTGAATTTCCATGAAATAGGTTTTGATTGGATTACGAAACCAACTGGATACAAAGCATACAAATGTATAGGCACATGTGAATTACCATTGACCGGTGATACGACAAAACACGCAACTATTCAAGCGGCAGCGCACTTGCGATTTCCATCCCTGCATAAAAGTCCATGCTGCGTTCCAACGAAGCTAGAACCAATATCATTATTATACTATGTTGAACCAGGAGTGATAGAATACAAATATCAATATGGCGGAATGAGAGTATCGGAATGCGGATGTCGGTAGATTAGACATATGCATTGCTGAAGCTGAGATAAAGCATATCACGGTGGAATTCTTCGGAAAGCGTATTAGGGCACATTGGAAAATGATACCAGAAAGCAGACGTGATAATGAATAATCACAAGTGAGATTTTGCCTTCCAAAAAATCATTCGAATTTTCATCCAGTTGTTGCTTGACTCAATCATTTGGTGTTCATTGACTTTTGACAGTTCGACCATGGAGTAACCCGTTTTTAAACAGTTGATGGATTTGCCCAAAATCGGATAAAGATAAATATACCTAGTGGTTCGCATCGAATACAGTTTCAAATCTGACATCAATGTCATATTTGATAGGATCACAATTACGAAACAATTACGTGTAATTCCAAATTGAAATGGAAATTAAAAAAATTGAATTACAATGTTGAATATTGCAACCATCGAAAACTATATAGATACACAAACCACATTTGGATAATATACTAAATATATTTGACAACCAATGTGAATGTTCATTGACATTTAGAATTATAAGTTCGAATTCGATTTTCTTATTGCCTATTTTTGATAAAATCTTTATTTTTAATTATTTAGCAAAATCTATCCTAAATAGCTATTGCGTTTTAAAAATATCTCATCACTTATTCTCTAACAAACGTCAAAAATGTAGCGCATAGACGTAGCCTACTACGCGCTAACAGTTTTCTCTGTCCGTTTGTGACATGTCAAACCGTTTCGCAATGCTAACGTTTGATTCGATCCCCCAGATAATTTTTCCACGCCAGGTAGATTTTCCTACTTCTGAATTTGGGTAATGCCACTTATTACAATTACTGTTCCAAAAAATATTTTAATTTTATTAGTTAATTTCATTGATTTAATTTCCACATTTCCTTCGTTGCACTTCATTGTTATCTTTTTTGAGCGATTATTCATTTTCAATTCTAACAGGACGTTTTTAATAAAACTCTCAAGTGAAATTTGTTCACAGCGATATTTCACACATATATGGACCTAGTACAGCATTTCCCAACAGGAAAGCAAGTGCACTATAGGGAGGAATTTTGTTGTCTTGGGGGAGAAAATACCGAAATATTACTTTGTATTTGATATAGTTTAACTAAAGCTACTTTAGTTAGTTAGTATCATTGTAATGCATATTTACGCACAGATTGCAGACTATTCACACTGTGCGAGCGCGTAGCATAAATATCTATTAAGATTTGAACAAAATGACGGAAATATGCATAGTGAGATAAGGATACAGAAATATAGAATAGGTAGAAGGAAAATTATATTCATCAGTTCATATCAGTACTCAAGTTTGACGTAATCATAGATGGGAACTCTTGTTCAAGTTTTCTGCGCTAACTTGCCAAAGCACTTACAATACGATTGGCAATAGCGTCCATAACCAAGCATTTGAGTGTTATTTTCTACTTAGATATACATTATCTCTTTTACTAGAGGTTCATTTAAAATAAATATTGCCTTAAATGCATAACGTGTCACTAAATCTCCGTGCCTCTTTGGGTCGATCTTTACAAGTAGTTCCCATCTGTCTATCGTCTTCTTCAGCAATCGTATCAAAAGCAATGCATTTCAACATTTGTGACGTGAACCTTACCACAAGTCACCTGTGATTCGAAACAGAAAATATACTGTCCGATGTATGTACATTATTATCAAATATACAACATACACGGTCTTTACCTCAACGAAAGTGTTATTAACTTTACTATCAGATCTCCAGAATAATATATATCATAAGTTTTGAAGAGTGTTGTAAAACAAAAATGCGTTATAAATATAGTGTGAATGTTCAGTATTCTTGATGTAACTTTTAGATGTTGATGTTCTATGTCATTAGCAATGTTACGATCTAATGACGTTTAAAAGTCTTCCGAAAAAACTGACGCGTTTCATTGCAGCCAAATTCGTGATGACCAAAGTCTCTGACTTTTCATATATATATGTTAATTGGCTTATCACATCATCACAGCCCTCAAATGAGTTGAGAGCTGTGATTCGGATATGATATTTTGAGTACTGCAAAAAATATTCAGATGCATGGATGTCGAAAATTTGCTTTTACAGTGAACTACAGGTACCGTGGTCTTCCTGACTTCGCCTGGCGACCAGATAGCAATGAATGCGAGCGCGGAATCGCCAGAAGTCACGCATTTTTTTATTCTGATGACGGCATTGCACAAAAAAAAACGAATCCCACGGAGCTCACAAAAATGTATGAAATAAATAAAAGTAATAGACTAGAAAAAGAATAGAGAAAAATACAATATTCAGCCACCTTAAATTTCATGTCTCACTGTCCAACAAGAAGATCAACAACAACATAATAACAGAACGATCCATAGGTCCACTTCGTGTCCAACAAGAACAACAGCAACATATTACTATTAATAATTAAGCTCAACTATATGGACAGTAAAGCCGAAACGGAATATTTTACCCACAATTTCCCAAACAATCATATCCTGGGCAAAGTTGAAATTGTGGACAAAGAACTTGACAAAGAATTCGGACAACAACATAATATTAAAACGATCTATAGGTCCATTTCGTGTTCAACAAGAGAGCACAAATATATGGGCCCAAATGCCAAGCCGTATCTTTATTTAACATAGGCTTTTTAAGTTGCGGGCACAAAAAATGATTTCTTTTTGGTTTTAAGTAAAAATGGCGTTTCCAAATACTTTGCTGTCAAATTCTAGATTAGATTTAGACAAAATCGACTGATCCGAAGAAACCCGTACTTATTTAGCTTCTGTATCTCTTCAATCTGCTTTCTAATTACGTATCTTCAATTGCACGTTCTTACTGATTTATTAAGGTCTGCTCTGCACTTTCCTTGAATTGCTCGCTGCTCAGCAAGCGACAGCTTTGTGGATCACGTTGTTCGCTGCTAGGACATTGTAATGATGACAAACAACAACAACAAAACGACCCATATGTACATTTCGTGTTCAATACCGAAACGATCCATAGGTCTAATACGTGCTCAATAATCCACGAAGGTTGGGTATAGTGCACAGCACACATCCTGATACCTCCCCACGAAACTGATCAAACTAAAAAAAAACGATGGCCCGATCATGGACTTCATGGAATGATATTCAATTATCTAACAAAGTAAATGTGACTTGAAATTCAGAAAAGCGACACATACAACAGAAAATGTGAATGCTGCAGATCTTGATGTCGCGTGCGGACTGGGGAACCGATCTAATTAAAATTTTGAGACCTTTATTGACAATGGTCATTGTGTGGCTATAATGATGTAAAATGCTGTTGAAAATATATATGTGACAGTCGGAGTGTGGATTTTAAAGTTGTACCAGGGTTGCCATATTGGCTTTTTTAACGCCAAATTTGCCATTTTTGGCTTTTTCGAATGCGTTCGGCGTCAGAATTTTCGTTTGGCTTTTTGGCGTTTTTTTGGCTTTTTTCAAATCTATTCTAGTGTTTATTATTGGAATAATATAAAATACAATATTTAGTGTGTAACAACTGAAAAATAGCCTATTACCTGTACTTAGCTACTTAACATTAGGATTTCCTGGAGCATCGATTTCCTTGTTTGTTACATTAGCTCTTAACCATAGGCCTACCCAATAAGAAATAATTGCAGTTTCTGCAGCTGCTCAGACAGATGTCCAAGCATGGTTGTAAACAATGCCTCGTTTTTATAGTTTTGCGTGTTATTTGATAGTTTAAAGTTCGGTTTTCTAAAAATAGTTGTATAGCTTAATTTTCATTATGCCTGATATGGTTTATGTGAGCTTTAGTTTAATTCTGCAATTGCAGTAACGATGTGATTAACTACGCTAAAATTACTGAATAAGATATCAGTGGTTCACCTGTGAGCGGCAGGGGGTTAGATAATTTTTTAATAAAATTGATGGTTTATGAATTTTAAAAGTGAAAAAATTTTCAATAGTAAAGTACGATATAGGGAGAATTTTTTAAGGTATATCACAAATTTAAGTAGAAACATGTAGGTATATTACATACTGACAGGCTGAAGCGGCACCCTGTATTGTATATATTGAATGATAAAATAATGCTGTCCGCTTGATATTTATTTTACTTTCTACAGTTCTATAGGAACTTTACTTTCTATTCGTGTGCCTCACTCATTTCACACGGAGAAAAACTATCAAATAATGTGCCGCCAAAAATTGAAATGGGTGAAACATAAAATAGTACCATATATTTGTAATGAAATGCAGTGCTTGGCACCCATTATGCGTGAGAAAGGCACGCATGAAACATCTCACATAAAAAAACATGTATAATCCATGCAAAAACATTACACACGCAATTAACTCTAGTGAGAATTTTTCTGCTGTTTCGTTTCCAATATATGATTGCAAACGAGGCCTCAAAAGAAGTTTCTGCAACACGTAGCTCTTAACCATTAAACAATATAAGCACGTGCCTAGGGCACCAATTAATCGCCAGTTTATCGGTGTTTATTAAAATATTCCGAGTTTACCACTTACCAGACGACTCAACTTCGAAATGTTCGCTTATTTTTTGTCTTCAAGTATCGTATTAACCTTCTTTATTAAAAATAAACACTGAAACTTATTTATTGGACACGAAATGGGCCTATGAGTTGCTTCTTGAATTGTTGTTGTTTTTTCTTTCTAGTATTCTCCTTGTTGCTGCATTTTTGTTTCAAAAAAAAATATTTTTTTTCTTTTCAACAATTGGACCAATGAACTATTTACACTATGTGGCGGTTCGACGGTCGCATTTCAACGATATATTGGTCGGCGAAGTCGGAAGTTTTTTGATAAGGTAGACCAGGGTGGTCCAAACCCTGTCATGCTGATACATTTCGTGCGGCTCACAGATCAATTTTAGCGTATATTTGTATCTAATGGAGGAACGTTTTTGAGGTTTTTTTAGCTATTCCAACTGGGGTTGGGATACCGAGATCCAAACCCCTTTTTCTAACGCTTTGTGCCTTTATTTTAGTAAAAACTCCTCTGTTTTCAAGCGTCGGCCATGTGACAGTAGTGACGAAACGCATATTAATATCTCTGCAGTTGATCGACGCCTCAAGCGAAATAAATTTACGTTAATAATGACAAAGTCTTCGATAACTTGGCACCAGCTCAAAATTCTACTGTATCTGCTCAAAATACTGGTAAACATCTCTGCGGCCCATGCTTTTGTGCGTGTCTCTTGATCACCTGCAGGGTCACAACAAGTTCATGTCTTACCGGAATATTATACTGTTCTTTACTGTTTTCTGGTTTAAACAAAGAAATATGCATAGCGTTTTATATGGATGCTCATATTAATCAGGAAACGCACGCAGAACAGAAAAAGCATGCGTGCCGATTTTTAGGTTTCTATATCTTGCGAGATTTGATGGAGCACATTCGCGATGAATCGGAGCCGAAAAGCGAAAACTGTGATTGCTCGGCGCCAAGATGTCGCGAAAAACGTCGCAATGTGACGGCGGGAAAAAAATTGCGTAATAAACCAACGCAACCTCATCTTCGGCAAAGCGATTGATTATTCGCTATTTGATTAGGGCAACCCTTCACTGGGTTAGGCCCCCGATAGCGAAAGGATCGACTACAAAAAAAAAAAGACGAAGACACTGAAGATGAGTTATGCCGCCGCCTCTTCGACTCCCGCCACAGAAGAAGTTTCCGCTGCAACATCTCGTACTCGGACGCTCTTCCTAAAGACCGACGAAGACATGGATTTCCTTAAGATGATGAAAGTCCTCCGAAACAACCCCACAACGAGAAGGTTCTGCGATCAGATCAAAGAGCTGTTTGAAGATCGCAGAGGAACTTGAATCCTCACCTTTGCGGCAACTGACAGCCCTAATTCCAGTTGCCGAAAGAGTTTTCTTTCTTCAGCAGGTGGGCAGATACAAACGGCTAAGAGTAACATCACTGTGACACTACCGAGCGAAGCTCCTATCCGGATCTCCATACGGGGAATCCCGACAGAAACTTCATATAACAGGGCGGTCACGAAGATCAACCAGCTAAGCTGTGGAACGATACGAAATGCAGTCCAGATGTGGTATCGAGGGACCGATGTCTACGACGGGCACACGTCATTCCTAATAGACGGTTTTAAAAATGACCGTCTGCCGGAATACGTCCGTCTGCCGGTAGTCAATGGCGTCAGCTGTAACACCTTCCTCCCACGAGAGTTATACACCCTAACGTGTGGGAAGTGCCTAACCACTGGGCATGCATATAGCGAATGCCAGAACGAGGCCGTTTGTATGTATTGCAAAGCAAAGGGCCACATGCTGAAAGAATGTCAAAAACGGAAAGCGTGACTATCCAGTTCTTCTCACCAACCCTCTAACCGGATGGAACCTGCCTCCGCAGAGAAGAAAACCTCTGCAAAATTATTCGCAACAACAGAGCCAGACTGACGTTCAACCTGCCGAAGAAATTGACAAGGTACGTGAATTTTCTTCTTCCGACTTTGAATTAAATTGTCTAAAAGAGACAAAAGACTGGTCGGAATGTGAGGATTTCGACAACGTCATAAGGCCACTTAAAACACCATCACCGCAACTGCTATAGAAACCAACAAGACAACTCTATAGATTAAAGTAGTCCTCAACAATCGGGAATACTTCGTTCCACCCCGTCCCAAACCTATGTAAAGGTTAAAATCAATAACTTTGAGTCCTGCGACACCACGTCTTCGTCGGTCTTTGACACAACACCGGAAGCAACAACATCTGCGCCAGCCAACCTGCAGTCAAACAACCCAACATCTATTGGGGACATAACAGAGGACAGCAACAAAAGAAGCAGAGATACAACAACATCTACAGATTCCTCGACATCTCAGACAAACACCAAAAGAACACACGTTGAAAGGAAAAAATAACTATCAATTTTCGGCCTCATCCTACCAAATTTATCTGCTTGTATCTCATTTCGATCCTTTGGTCAATTCATATCACAATTCAGCAAATCAAATTCCTTTTATATAAAGCCTAGTTGACGGCGTAAAACTACAACAAATCATAAAATATCATCCCACACAAAGCGGATGTGATGACAGAAAGCCTACCACTTTTACGTGATATATACAATGGTGATCTCTATTGAAGAGCAAATAATCCATGAAACTTCTGTCTGGGTATGAAGGCATTTGGGCTGGATTCCAGACTTTGTCGTCCTGATACGTAAAACTTAAAAAAAATAAAAGTAAAATAGAAAATGAAGCGATTGAGACAGCATCAAAACAACAAAATTTCTCGCGGTTGCTGATAAACTCAAAATGATTGCTACTCCGTTTGAATTAATCTGCTTTAATCTGATGATACAAAGCAACATAATAATTTGAACAGAAAACGCCACTTTGCGGATGAACAATCAATGTTTACACCAGTGACTTGGGAATATGATTGGTGTAAACAAAAACAAGAAGCCCTTGAAAACAATTGAACTATCAAGACATTCCTGCTTTTATCGTATTCCTTGTAGCTTCCTTTGTTCAGTGTGCGATATGTCAATTTAAAGCAATGCCACCCCTGTTGTTCCCGAAGATAAATTTGTTCTGGTCTGTACTAAAATATTTATACAATGTGGAGTGCAGTTGGTGTTCATGGGAAGGATGATTTTCCACAAATTCGGAAAGCTTTACCGTAGCTGAATTAACAATAAATATGATTAACTTAAAAGGGGGTTCTGTTTGTATTTTTAACCTCAAGGTTTTTGAAATCAATGCTCGCTATAGCATTTTTCGTCCGTTATTTTTGCACATACGCATCTGCAAGATTCGGAGATCGCATTGGCAATTTTGTTGGTTATGTCTTTGTCCCGTGTTCCTCTTTGGTATTATTTTCTGAATAGAATGCACGTGCCACCTCCGTATTTTTCAGAATTATCAACTATATTTATCATGTAGCGCTGTTCTATAATTATTTTGGGCTTGTTGCTCTTCTTCTGAGAGATTGGAATATCCACATTGTGGCTTGATTGGGCGGATTCAGTTACGTAACTGTGCTGTGTTTTTTCTGTAGAAGTGGGAAATGTGATAGTATCACTTAAGTCAGTACTTGCTGATTGCGTTATGTATACCAACAGGTAGATTTTTTTTTCTATTTTAAAGGTTTTTCCAAATTATGCTTGTTATTGTGTGTCCTTGCAGTCAACGGCAACTTTTGGTATATTATTTCAACCATTTTAGGCGTTTACTATTTTGATATTTTTAAACAGTATAGTGAAGGTGTCTCCTTAAAGTGTTACTTATTTTATTCAAAGGAATTAAATCGTGGTGTGCATTGTACTAGATTTATTTTGAACCCATCTCAAGCTTCAAGCTTTTTGTATAAACAAAAATTGTTAACATGAAATCAGATTATGGGTAAAATTCTGTCATCATAAAAGCACATTTTTCTGGTTTCGTTCGTATTACATCTCGTTCGCTGGGCAACTTAGTTCCGGATGTTTAGGTATTTTTGTCAACTCCCGATGATATAAATTAAGTGTTCATTTTCTTTGGAATTATTTTCAGTTGGGAAATCCAGGGAGGCCATGGAGTTGAGGCGATCGATGTAATTCTTGTTTATCCCGCGGCGAAGATGGTGGCGTGGTAATCGTATAATGTCATGCCGACAGCAGTAGAGTTATGCAAGTCTCCGTTCGGTTAGTGCCGTTCTTATAAAATATTGTAATAAAATTGTTTTGTATATGCCACGCACCATGCATTTCGTATAGGGTAGCTGTTTCAAAATACATATTTTAAACTCTCCGTTGAAGCAACTAAGAAAACACGCACTAATTGCCCTGAACAAGACCCTGTGATTTACCCTACCTATAGTAAGTATACTGTATTGAAATCAATGACCATTTTATGTCGTGTCAACGATCCAAATATCAAGACGTATCATTGCCATTCTGATTCAATGGAAGAATGCCTTTTTTGTGTACAGCCCAAAGCATTCACTAGTTGAAATCAGTCAAGATTGGTGAAGGGGGCACAAGTGCGAGACCTCCAACTCAACAGCTAATATGTACAAGAAAAATCGACTTAAAAATATTGATGGCATATAGAGCGAGCACTCATCTTGTGGCAATTCAGTGTTCATGCTAATTGCTGTAATGTTATTTGAGTCATTTTAGTTCTTGGCAGACACATGCAAAGGGATAACATCTATCAATTTATCATTTGTTTCTCATCTAGCCGAGGTATCTTTGAAGCTATATGGGAATCGTAATGCACTAACACATCTCTTGGAAATTGCCTCTTTCCTATTATGACAGGGATGAAGCACGTCGAGACAAATAAATAAATGATTGAAAAGATCTTTGTTTGTCACGTAATATATATATATATGTGTCGCATGTATTTAGGCAAACAGCAATTTGTTTTTTACACAATAAATACAATAGCACATTGGTCAACAATAAATTTGGTTACGAATTAAATACAAAAAAGAAAGAAATTAAATTTGTAACAATTATTGAAGAAGAAAAAATTATGACTGATTAAAGAAAGATAGTTCTTCACGTACAAGAAAAAGCTTTTATATTGTAGACCTGTTCGATGAATTGCATGCATATATGGTACAAATCTCGAGTCAGCGTCCACCTTAAAAAAGAACATTTAACATACGGGAACACAAAGTGCAAAGAAAATAACTAAATCATTAAAAGAAGTTTAGATATACATAGACATTTTCACTTGAAATGAATCAACTGATCACCCAACTTCATGCAGTCTTGTCTATAGAATAGGCTGAAGTGGTATCGCGTCATGATTGTTTTGGTTTGGCATATGGCTTCTACAATTTGTTTCGCTCTATGATGAACCGGTACATGAGTCAGAACCTGGAATGTCGATCCCCTTTTTTGCATAACTGTACCAAGCAATATCAAGATATTCGTATTTTGAAGTACGAATCCTGACAGACGGTTAATTTCATGACGTGCCTAATGTTTTTATTATATAAAATCCGCTACATTTGAAACTGTATGTCCATGCACCTGCCGATTTTGGCGTAATTCTTGAGCAAAAAGCATTCTTTAATAAGATGCAGTTTGGTCTTCTTTGGATGTGTGGTTAAACGACAGCATTCTGTTGAGAACGATCTCCTACTGTTTCGTTCATGATACTTACAAGAGATCTTGTTCTCTCAATTTGGTTATCGCCCAATCTAAGAGCGTTTCGCTCTCCATCAGTTGGTTCATTACCATCTGGTTCAGACAAATTTAATCCTAAAAACATTCGCGACGCCGTATGCACAGCGTGACGAATTCTGTAGCGGCGCCATGCTCGCTGTATGATAACAGCCGATAGTTCTTCCTGTTTTCGTCGTAAAGTCGTTGTGATTGGTTCATAGGATAGTTTTGAAGGATTTGATTCCATGAATTTTTCTTCCATTTGTGATCTTAGTCCTTCTAGTTCATCTGACTCTCCTAAAACTCGCTTAGTTAAAGCGAATAGGACATCGAGGCAATGTAGTCTGTCCCCCATAACCATTGGAAGATCCATATCAATTAATGTATATCGATTGGGTTTTGCTACTCGCAGTGGTTCATCTAAGCTGTCCACGAAATCAGACAAGTGCTCGTACGCAATAAATTGCGTCGCCTTTGGATCGAATCTTTCCCAAACTTCGTAAAACATTTCGAAATCTGAAAACAATAACATTGTTCGTCGATATGTCATCAAACACATAATCGAACAAAAATGTAAAACGATGGTAATGTCTCAGAAACAGTGCGTGTATATTGCGCAACCATAATAATTTATAACCATCAGAAAAGTGAGAATAATTTAAACAATACTTTTTTTTGGTCAAGATATAATTATTTTTTGAAATAAACTGTCTCAGATACAGTGCGTGTATTGCTTAAACATACCAATTTACAATGATCAGAGAGGTGAGACTAATTGAGGCTGCACAGACGTAATATTGTGTTAAATAAAATTACCATCTTCTCCTAGAGGTTCAGCACTTTCTTCTGTCGCAACACCAAAGTTTTCCAAAATAATTGCAATATACATATTTACAACGATAAGGAACGTCATAATAAGATACGTGACAAAAAATGGTACTCCGATAGACGAGCCACAATCGCCATTTTTATTTGGGTTCCCGTTATCGAGTGTTGGATCGCAATCTGGTGGCCCGAAGTTCATTATCGGACTTAGCAAACCGGCCCAACCTGAAAATTAAATGATTTTGCTACAATAATCATATTTACATATAGATAAGTCAACATTTCCGAACAAACTAAGTCAACACAAGAACCTTAAATATGTGTGTTCAATATTTTTAGATCAGATCAAAACACAGTCAATTATGTTTTATTGCGCAACCAGAGCTTAATATTCCCGCGTGTTAAACATCTTGCATAAGAAACAATCTGCGTAGAGTATAATACTTGATAGAAATATTACTTCGTCTTTTTTATTAGATCGTTCATTTTCAAAAGCTACCGCCATGCATACATACCTGCTGATGTTGTTATCATGAACAAGCAAAGAAATGAATTTGCAAATGTTTCAAAATTGAAAATGTCGTCAATTATTCCACCTCGCTGAACATAAGCAAACTGAGACATCCCCAATATTGAGTAAATAAACCTGGCAGATAAATTATAACTTATCATGAAATAATTTTGCATCATAGTAAAATAGATCGTTAAATTTATAATTTTATAATTACCAAAAGGCATTGTTACATTTCTGGTATCGATGTTCGGTAATAACCAAACTAATCATTGGTGCGGGATTTGCGAGTGCGAATATTTGATATTCGACGTCTAAGTATAAGTGTTACCAGTTGCATATGTCTAGAAAACTTTATTATTTCTCTTATTTATTTCTCTTATGTACTTTATTATTTATAATACTTATACTCACATGACTAAGATGAGTAGCAGTGCAATATTGAATAAAGCTGGCAGTGACATCATCAGAGCGAAAAGCAGTGTACGAATTCCTTTTGCACCTCGAATTAAACGCAAAATTCTACCAATTCGAGCAAGTCGAATCATGCGGAAAAGGGTAGGCTGAACACAAAATGCAAAATTAGGTAGGCCTACGGATAACATCTCGAATGGAGAATCATAAAATCTTTTATATAAAGTGCAAGACACACAACACAGCCACTTCCAATCACTCTTGCGAACGCACGCAGTGGTCGACCATTCTTGTGTACACACAACTTTAGACTTCTATTCGTTTATGTCTTCAACTTTTCAACATACAATGCATATCGCGTTACCTCTATGGAAAATATTCATGAAACTTAATGATAAGTTAATTACCTGCACAAAATATTGCTTAATCACTCCACTCATAGTTGTACCAACAATCGACAATATGACAACGATGAAGTCAAATACGTTCCAAGCATTTTTGAAATAATAAAGGCGGAGGGCGAACAACTGGAAAGCAAAGAGGGTTTTTCTATGATTTGAATACAGTTGAAAATATTATATAAACATTATTTCATGCTGTGCACAAAAGCCTCAAACAAATTACAGGGATACGAAATGTCAAAAAGTTATAAGCTAATATTTACCATTCCTTTTTCTCTTTTTCGACTTAGCTCATGTACAAATTGAAACTAGTTGTGAAGAGATTGGGGCTTTTCTGGTTCGTTAACATAATCCAAATAAATAATACTGTACAACAAACCTTCAACACAAATTCTCCAGTAAATACTGTGATAAAAATGTAATTGATGTATTCCAAAATTTTGTCCAACATGACTGACATATCATGATGTTCAATCATCATCGTCACCATGTTCAAAATAATGAGTGTCATGATGGCTATTTCAAATGTTTGATGAGTGACGATGTCGAATACCCAACCTTGTAACTCGTTCTGTGAATATTATCATAAAATTATATATTGTTCATAAGTAACAAGGCTTTCATAATATATTAGTGAACGAATAAATAGGTGGTGATCTCTGTGCGGAAAGCATTCCAAAGTCTACGATTTATTGGAATTCTATTGGAAATCAAACACATCTTAATCTAATTCTTTGTTACTCAGTAAAAAAAGTTCATTATTATACCAAAACTCCGATCAGATTTATTGAAACAATTCTACATATTTAAAAAAAAAAATAAAAACATCTCCCTGATCGGCTGACTTATTGCGGGCGTCAGTTTCTATAATATGAAATAAGACTAAGTTTATTACTCGTGTATTGATTGGGTGTATATAATACCTAAATAGTCACAGGCTATTTAGAGGTAGGAAAGAATTATTACGTTCGGTCGGGGAACTGGTTTTTGAGGTTGCTTGGATCCCAATTTTTTCATGGCATTGTAGTATTTGCGTTGTTCTTCAGTCATGAAAATATCTTGGCCTCCCAATTTTTTCTTCTGTTGACTGAAGTTATCAATGATGACACCGATGAACAAGTTTAATGTAAAAAAGCTCCCGAAAACTGTATAAACATGTGTTCGTTAATAATATCCGTTTATCTGATTTCGAAACTGGTAAAAAGTGGTGAAAATCATAAAATGTAAAAATATGGGGATATTTCTTATTATTCAACAATAAAAAAAATGTTTTTCTTTCTTCATAAAGATCATTTAAATATCTATCTACGACATGTAAAAGACTTCAGTCTGCCAGATGATAACGTATAAAATAGAAATGCCTTACCGATAAAAATGACAAAATATATATAATATCCACTGCTTTGTTCAAAACTAGGTTGCTCATTTTCTTTTGTGACATCTACGGCATCGTACATGATGTCCATCCAACCTTTGTAAGTAGCTATCTGAAATTCACACACGATGTCAAATATTTATGACATGAACTGTTGATCTAACAATACATTTTAGCGAGATTTAACAATAACAGATGAAATTGATTCTGAGATTAACCACTCGAACATTTGTGAAATATTAGGGAACAACACAACATACAGCGGAAGCCAGGTAAGTATATATTGAATAGTAGTAATGTCAAGTTCATAAAATTCTTAAGATTATTTGCATTCTTTTAATTATTCAAAATTGATGCAAATAAAACAATTTTGATATCAATTATTACCTTTTTCTATTTTTTTTTGGCGGGTAACAGTTTGATCAGAACAAATTAAAGATCACAAATTAAAGCGGACATTTTACATATATTTTCTGATCAAAAATTTTGTTTTGAAATATTCTTTTGAATATGTTTCACCCCTTACATTGACCAATTTTATGATTATTTTTGTAAAACAATAACAAATTATATACCTGTAATAAAGCTAAATAACCGTTGAAAACGTTGTCATAGGTAACCTTCGAATTTCTCCACATTATTTCACTGCTTACATTTTGATGTATATATTCGCAAACATCCCTATGTAAAAATGAAGTAAAAGTTTAATATAGGGATTCCAATTTTTGCCTATGTACATTAGCAATGTCGGCCGATGAAAATTCACGAATCAATTAAACATATTCAACATATTAATAATCTAGGAATCACAAATCACATGAGATACTCACTTGGTTATGTTCGGAAATGTTATATTTCCAATTGTAACGTTATGCGCTTCTAATCTTTCCAGTGAGGTCGTATTTAAGCATTTATAAAATTTTCCAGCAAATAAATTCACTCCCATAATTGAAAAAATCATCCAAAATATTAAGCAGACGAGAAGGACATTAAAAATCGACGGTATTGCACCGACCAGAGCATTTACGACAACCTGTAAATTGTGCATGATAAGTTAAAATTTTCAAGCAGGCTGCTGGTTACAATATATTTTGTTTCATATTTTTATATTGACTCAAATCATTTTTGTACAGCTCTTTCTGTGTTTTCGTCAATGTTTAAAAGTATATGAATTTTTGTTTGAATTCTTCATCCATCAAGAGACCGACCATGTCGTTTTTTCTTGTTTGTACATATTTTTAGTCTTATTCGAGCGAAATTGCCTTACTTGAAGATTATTTTCGTATTGTGATATATCATTAGGATACAACGTCAACTATATATCTGTCTAAAACCCGATTGAAAATATTGTACCAACGTATACACACATACCTTCATGCCTTCAAACCTAGACATTGCTCTCAAAGGTCTTAGTGCTCTGAGCGTTCTCAATGATCGAATGCTTCCAATATTGTCCCTTCCCAATGCTTCTGCAACCAACCCAATCAACGATACCTTAAAAAGTAAAACTCTGTGTTAGTGTTTTGTTCTGTATATGATGTTTTATAGGTAGCAACCAATAAAGCGAGACGGTGCGGTGTTCTAAAAACAACCCTCGCATACTTAGAATCTTGAATAAAATCCAAAATGATAATTTAATAGCACAATCATGCTGAATTTTCACGAATTCTTCATTTTATTTTATCCACTTACTCCGACAATTAGGAAATCCAACCAGCACCAAGCGTTTGTAAAATATTTTTTGAATCCATATCCGACCCATTTCAATAACATTTCGAATATAAAGACGAAGGTGAATATTCGATCGGCGTACTTCAATATGCGTTGCAACACTTTTTTATCTTTCAAGTAAATATCTTCAAACGCCTGAATTAAAAAAGAAATGAAATTTCATTCCTGCTTGGAGAAAATTACACTCTTGACCTTGCTACTTTGAGATTTTAGATTCGAGGCCTATTCTTTCAGTTCAGCAGTATTTGTTGGAAGTTGTAAGAAATATAACGAGACTTATGTTTATAATCTTAAGATTTTTGAGGATTCAACACTTAATATCTGATTGCACATAATTTAACTCAATGTTTGGTGGTAAAATAAACTTACCAAAGCACCGCTGCTAAATAAAATCATAAGGATGATGAAACTCTCAAACCAAGCATGTTCCACAATTCTGAAACATATTTTCCTCATGTTCCACCAAACTAGACAGCATCCTTCATCGACTGGAGGATTGCAGCAAACAACCCTGGCTGAACATCTAAGAGGCCAACAAGGTGCTGGAAGATCTTGTTCGTCTGATAAAAACACATTGAATTTGTTCGTTTAAGAAATAATGGTAAGTACTCAAGTATTTTCAAAGCAATAAAAAATGAGCAATAAAACAATCACTCACCTAAAGGTTGCGTAGACGGAACTTCAATCTGATTACACTCTGATCTTGTTTCCCATGTTCCGGATCCACTTCGTGAACTCCCATCATACTGTTGAAACATTTCAAGGAAGACTAATTACTTTTAAAATTACCTATTGCGTATCGTTCATACGATTGGCGATGATAAATTGTTACACATTTGACACATTCCTCAAACACGCCATTCATATACCAGGTTTCTAGGACTAGGTTTGATTATGCGAGGAATTTCCCCTCCGATATAGAACTGTTTACAGCGCTTTCGCCGCCTATTGCTCATTGTTTATACGTCTAAAATTTGCGCCGATTGGACAATAAATCGTTACACATCATCACAGTTTCTTCAAAAACTTAATTATTTCAATGTAAATTTTCAACAAGGACAAGGCTTTTTTCATGCAACGAATGTTACTTACCGATATAAAACTGTTTGCAGCGCTTTCACCGCCAAGTGATTGTTCGTCTTCACTGTCAGATATATCAACATCAGATTCTTCGCTTGCTCTCGGAACTTTGATATGATGCTGAATTTAATTCAAGTTATATTTTTATGTTCGCTAGCAAACTTAATCATTTGTTGCGACAAATATATATAAAACATGAGTCATAAATATATTTTGCTTAATTTTACCATCTGGCTAAAGACATTATGAAATCGCAACAATGTAATATTAACTATGTTGCATGGTTATATAATGTAATATATTCACCGGAGACCAAGTAACGTGGATGTCATGATCCGCCATTTTTGTATTATGTGATAAATCAAAGCAACTTTTTCTCTGCTTTTCTTCGATGAGGCCTTCGTAAGGTTTGACAATACTAGTTAACTTCATTCCTGAAGTGAGACCATTTCCGGTCGATTCTGGATTCTCCTTGCCAGCAACGTCATTACAATTGTACCTCTTTGTTTTTAACTTTGAATCAAATCCGTTGACAAATTTTTTTCTGAAGGCAGAAACATAGAATTTGTGTATAAAGGTAGAGGCATATGTGAGGTTTTTTTTTCTTTAAATTTCTAACAAACTTTTAACAGGCAGCTACTATTTTTGGAAGGGATGGAAGCTTTCGTGTTCAGAAAAGCAACTGAACTGAATTTACTGTACAACTGTACTGAATTACTGTACTGAATTTGAATGGAGCATTTTTGTTAGCCGGTTACACATTACTGAAAACCATCTAAATTCACGAGGACTGCAGACACTGTAGAGAGTAATACTAGGAGTCAAACATTTCAATTTATAAAAAAAACAACCACCTGACTAAGCTTCGAAAATGTTATGCAAAAATATCATAGCTAATGTATTCTAATGTCACAGTTACCTACCTGCATGATTCAATAATAATCGATTTTGCCAACGCAATTTTCGATTTCAAGTAATCAATGAATTTATGAATTCTAATCATCGAAAGTTGTATTGCATTTAATTCTTCATCCTCATCTTTCACAAAAGTATCAGCACTAAATGAACTGAGTAAAAGCGCCAGAAACAAATTCAGAACCTGCATGAATATAGAAAACAGCTATGGTTAGTATGGTAATTGAAGCCTGCGCATTCACTGGGCACGAGAAATACAGTATTTAATAGGTGGTTATAATATTCAAACTGTGAGTTCAGGTATATAATATAAGGTAAACAAGTTAATTTTCATTATTTTGTGTATGTATGCAGACAGCCCTTGCAGTATATACAAACGTGCAATGCATATTACAATATTGAAAACGGGCCAAAGAGAAAAGTGAGGAATTTCCGATTAAAAATTTAACCAAATTGTTCTGTTAAAATTATTGTTTTATTTCCATACTTACCACAAGATTTCCGACAACATGAACCAGCATAAAAACAGGGATGCAAACTCCAGCCAACTCGCCTCCCCACCGCATACAGTCCCACATAGTTTCTATCCATTCTCCACATAATATCCGAAATACGATTAAAAATGAGTGAAAGAAATCCATCATGTGCCATCTCATCACTTCCTGATGAGATGAAGCAGTAAGTAAAACCATGTTAAAAAAACGGGCGTTACAAAATTGTGCGGTGATAAAAAGGTTAAATTTTAGTTTAAGATTGTAATCAGAAAAATATGACGTATAATTGACTCATTTGATGATGCAATTTATGTGATGGTGTTGCAGTCCTTCCATTATGAAGTAGATAAGCTTTAACCAGCATGATTTTGTTAACTTACTCCTTTTGCCTCCAAAATCAAATTTGCTTTTTCGTATTTCTCGCTGAACAATTGCATTCCAACGACGGCAAAGATAAACAATATAATTAGAAGAATGAACGTCAGATTTCCCAACGATCCCATCGAATTTCCAATAATTTTAATTAGCATGTTCAATGTAGGCCAAGATTTTGCAAGTTTGAAAACCCTCATCTGTGAAAATACCATATTAGTTATACATAAACATTTTGCATTAAGCAATTGACGATTTTTAATCCACAGATATAAGAATGAACGCTTTGGCGCCAATCATGCACCATGTTAGGTCAAAGATCTCTGTTTGGAGACATGTTTAGTTTACCGATCTTCTCCATAGCTACACCCATACTGCGTTAATAGAGTATCCGACCCTTTCGAATACTTAGATATAACGTGACTCTTGTTCCTAGGTTGGATTAATATTTGCTAACATGAAACATTCTGACACGCGAATTATTCTTTATAACAAACGCATCCTCGATCAAAGTGATTCTACAACTATTCTTCGACTTACCAATCGAAACGTTCGAAGCACTGAAAGTCCTTCCACTTGCACCAGAGCGTACTCAAGCAAAGAAAATGATACAATGACGGAGTCAAAACAGTTCCACGCTTCTTGGAAATAATAATATGGATGCATTCCCACCATTTTGATCACCATTTCTGCGGTAAAAATGGCTGTAAAAACCTACAAAGAAACGTACGTGTTAGGTAACTCTAATGGATAGGTAAAATTCATTATATTGCACATCGATATCCGTCGCCATTAAACGGGCATTATTGATCAAACATAGGATGCCCGGCCAAGGTATTGGATTGTCCCCTCCCTATCTATGGGAAATCTCAAGTTACTAGTTGCAATTGTTATTGTTGCATTTTTCTTCATTAATTGGTTTGGTAAAACAAACCCTGCTCACTTCCACTACTCGAATACGATAACTACAACCTTACTTACATCATTCGACATTTTCAAAACATTTGAAAATGATTCATCCATCGGTTTATGTTCTGCTGCTAAGAATCCGGTGTTCAAAAGGATGCATATTGTAATAAAAAGGTCGAGGAATGGATCTTCGCAAATTATCTTGCACTGGAACAAAATATATTTTTAATAACATTGACATTGACGGAAAACCTGTGTATTAACTAAAAGCAAGCTATTTTTTCTGCTCAATGCCTTTTAATCGAACGGAAACGAGGTGCTAGCAATCCAAGACGTGTGCAGGGTAGCTTTTATGTTTTCGCCATCAGTTGTTTTAGCAATATCAATACTTACAACTCGATGAACTTTAGTCCACGGTCCACCGCAGTTCCAAATACAAAATATATCAGTGAAGTCGTACCAGCATGGACTACATTTTCGATCTTGCTTGTCCAATTCTACACATAATAAGACAACAGAATTTTAAAAAGACCATCTTGTTAAATAAAACGTTGCCTTATCTCTATCCTAAAAAATTCTATCTCAGAAATTATTTCATATCCCAAAGTGAATAATTTTTATGTAATATTTTTATTCGGTTAATATAGCATGTATATATTATTATCTCTGAAATATAAAGTCTTATATTCAAATATCTACTTCATACCTGCTGTCATAATAGAAGCTTGACTCAACGCTCTTTGTTTCAACAAAGCCAGCTGAGGCTCGCTTAGTAGATCAATAGATGGCAGTCGCGATCTTGACATAGTTGGCTTTAAATTGTCCATCGGAATCATTTCACACTCAGGTGATGACTGAATTTTAAAATGTTCATGATTAAAATTTCAATTATTTGCTTGAATCAGGAGTGAAATCATCAGTACGCGAATATCATAGCAGATAAGCATATTGTTTAACATAACCAGCGAGGTCAAATTTCCAAAATGACTAGAATAAGTCCCTCATCAACTTTCGTCTGTGAGTCAAACTTTTAGAAATTGCTAGAATCTAGCAAAAACGAGATTTATTTCAACAAGCAAAATGAATTGAAACCGAATATAGCTTTAAGATATATATATATGTAAGGTGCATAAACAAACATGAGCAAATTTCAACAAATTTCGTGCGTGCATTAAGAGAAAGTTCAATATTTTGATTCCATTCTGAGATGGACAAGTCTAATGCACTCACCCTTCCGTTATGTTCACTTGGTGACTCCACAATGACTTCTGGTAGCAATGTTGGTTGGGACGGATGACGAGACACTAACATAACTGTGCCGTTTTGGTCTACAATTGTGCTGCTGACTTCTGGATATAAAATAGAACAACTTTTTCAAAGCTTATTTCGTATGCCTCATATATAATGTCTAAAATTGGAATGTAAAACTGAATCTAATTGTGAAAATTATTATTAATTAACATTTACCCAAAACCTACCGATACTCACCATTATTTGGTTGCTTGTCTGGAAGTATCATTTGATCTTTAATTTTGTTTAATTCTAGGTGCAGTTTTTCGGCAAGAACTGATTGGTGTAATTCTGAAGGAATTACAAATAACAAATATTAATCAAACATAACAACTGAAATTAAGTTTTTAAATGTTCAGAATTTATTCAGGAACAATAAGAAATCTTACGAAGGGTCAAAATGATTCACGTAAATCACACAAAAAAAGCAGTTCAGTCAATATTCATAAATTTAATCCACCAATCGACGAAGAATTTTGTTTTGTTAATTGATACATATTATAACGTTTTGGACAACGTAATAGATATGTACTTGTTAAATTTATCTGTTCTTGATGAACTTATAACTTACTCTTTCCCCTCTGGTACATTTCTAGAAGATTGACTATTTCCACCGATTTAAACAGAAATTCTCAGAAATCGAATATCAAAATGTCAATAAAATGACACTATCATGCGCTCACCTTCCACTGGGTGATGTGGTCCGTTGAATGACGAAGAATTGATGATAATTTCGGGAATTTGCGTCACAGTTTGACGCCTGGAGTTGGATGATGCCATGTTTTCATTCAATAAGGAAAAATTAACAGAACCTGTTCTGCTTCCAATGCTGTCAGTTTCCGGTATTGTCTCGTTGTCGACGGGATTATTGTGATTTCCATTCAACTGTTTAAATTTGTTTATTGTTCAGAAATGCGACAATAAGGTTTCACATTGTATGGATTATGACCAAGATAATGCTACCTATATAAGCAATGGCGAAATAAGCATTTTTGTTAATAATCGTCAATGTTTCAAGTGACAACAGGTTGTTGGCTACTGGTGAGAATGAAGATAAATCTATGTCTCCTATGCTTCCAAAAACATTTATACGCATCTACTTGAGTGGAAAAGATCGTACATTGAACTATATCACGACCATGCCAATTGAATGCTGCTTACTGCGAACACCAACCACTTTACCTTCTTAATTATTCTTGGACTTGTAAATTGGCGACCAGGTTGCGTGCTACTTCTTCTTCGTAATAATGATGCTATTGAACCGTTAGATGACGCCGGAGAAGAGTCGATATTTGCTCTACTTGTCTAAAAAGTTGCGAATTTATTAGAAAACAACACTAATGTTACCAAAATTGTTCTTTATTTTATGTAAATTATAATCTATTTCTAGTAGATATCTTTTTTATTCAGAGGCATAACAAAATTCATGGAATCTATAAAGTTCAACATACCCTTCTACTTTCAAGTTTCACTTCAGCATCATGAACTTGTACCAGTAGAGCATCCAGTTCATTTTTCTTCATTCTCATCAATTCTCGTTTTCGTTCTTCTTCTTGTGCTACTAACTGGAAAAACAACGTCAAATAGACGTACGTGATACGGCATGTACACCCACAAATGTCAACTTATGGACCAACAGCTATTGCAGTAGTTATAGCATGGAAATAGATCTCACACTTGGTTGTAAGTTATATCGAAGTATTTGTATGCAGAGAATAAACATCTTATTTCTACTAAAAGTTTCCTAGACCTTGAAAATGCTTTCATTATGTTCCTTAATTCATTTTCACGAAATTGATTCCTGTCAAATTTCCAAACCATCGTTACACGAGACAAATTAGGAAAAATTTTCATTATCATCTATTATTACTGATGTACTCAAAATTGATGAACTAATAGATTGTTTCCATAAAATTAACATAAATGTCAATTCAACGCCCAAACCCATACCTGATATTGATCTTCGTAGGCCATAGCAACAACAGCCAAAATGAGATTAATCAAGTAAAACGAACCGAGAAATATGACGATCATAAAAAATATCATGTAAACTTTTCCGTTTGCACGAAGGGTCTAAATTAGAAGAAATAACTATTAGTAAGTAATATTCGAATGTTGCATATTGAAAGTTAGCATATTAATATTGTATAAGAACTAGCATTTCATTGTGCTTTGAATACTAACGAACGTTAGTCTATAAATATACGAAATCTATAAATATACCACCTGATTTATATTTAAACAGTTATAGAGAATATGAAATTCCAAACCATTTTCATGCCAATGTACATTGTAAAGGTACAATAATGTAGGCTTATATGCAGCCAAAGTTATTAGTAATTAAAACTCTCTGTAACTACCAAATTTAATTTCGAATTAAATCATTGAAATATTTGAATTAAAATAGAATTTTGAAAATCAATTAAAGGCATTCAAATAAAAATAGAAGAATTGAATCGTGTTTTTTTGTCGTAATGTCGGATGTTGTGAAGTCTATCTGCAGTTTTCTTTACTCACCAATTGGTAAAGATTCTCCCAATAATCTTGCGCCATCAAACGGAACAATGAGAGGAAAGCCAAGTAAAAGGTATCAAAACTTGTGTAATCAAAATTTGGGTTGTCTCCGGTCAATACGCAAAAGAATCCGTCCCAACATTGCCTTCAAGTAATATATAAAGGCAAATTTAAAATGTCGATAAAACGGTTATTTATCATGGAAACTATAATGTATTTTTACTATGTGGACTGTCGTTACTCTTCTATAGTGCATTGAGATTCGAGATATTAAAAATTGTATGTCATTAACATTTAGTTGTTCTGGTTTACCATCGATACGTATTTTATACACACATTTTACTGGTACTATTATATTGCACATCATTTGGACTGAACTAAATTTAGATATTTTGTATCAAATATTTTCAATGAAATATATACTAACCCGCTATTTGTGCCATTCCCGCATAACCACGGATCACCTCTGACGAAACAGTAGTTACCTGAAATATTCATAAAAAAAAGTTTGTATTTTAAATATAACCAAGCTTATACTAGACTGAGGCATGTGAGACTTTCAAATATTGCTTGACACTGCACGCGTAACGATCACCACTAAGGAATTCTGTTCACTGATAATATTATACTTGAGTTCTCTAAAAGTTATTGGTCGAAATAAAAAATAAATCAAACTCATTTCTGCCCGCTTCAAATAAGTTGAAACAAATAAAACATATGAATAAGTTACACAATTCCTTCAAGTAATTGTCGTATTAAATTTCGCGTAAGCACGTAACTGAAAACTATATTTATCGGTTTACCCCTTAAAGAAATTAATTATGTTGCACTATTGATTGGCTTAAACATATTAAGAAAACTAACAATACAATCGATAATTGTTTACAATAATAGATGAAACAAATTTACATATGTCTCATCTTACCTAACATGCGTCAGTTTGTCTTGACTTTCCCCATGATATGATATTGATTCAAGAAATATTTTGTGAAATGTTTACATGATTATGGTTACTTCGTCTAGTTCTAATTTACTTTTGTACTGATTTAGGTCATTATTATAGGTACCCACATTCATCTGCTATCCATTCCTCATAGCTTTGATTGTACCATATGTATGTTGTCGAATTGCAGTCCGGATTCGGCTTGCATTCCATGGCTTTAGATACGGTGATATTTGGATCAACTACTTCAAAGGTATCGTTGGGTGAGATCGGATAAGGGTCCGAAAAATTGAAATTTGTAAAATTTCCTGTCAGCCACATATCCATCAAAATGCTGTAATGACTGAAAAAATTGAAATATTGTTATAAACTATTTTATATTAACATTTTTTCCACAAAATTGCGAATTCATAGAATTCACGAAATGGACATCGCAATTATTTGGTAAAAAGAATAGTATGTATAATGAAAAAACAAAAATTTAATTGAAAATTCTGCACCGAAGACTCATTAACAACATTCGCGATTGTATCAAAATATTCAAACTAACTATAATATATATATATATATACCAAAACGTGTCACGAGGCCAGATTACAACATCTATCAAAAACCAAAAAGGACCCTTGCATGGACCATTTGCATTTTTACGCGCCTACGTAAGTCTACAAATAAGTATATCTACAAAAATTATGTTTTTTGATTCCGATTAAATACAATGAACTGTAAAATAAACAACAGATAATCTTACTGTGGAGGCCACGATCGCACACATTTGTTTCGTAAACTTCCCATAAATAGTTGAAGTCCAATCAGTGCAAAAACCGACAGGCAAAAAAACGTTAAAATCATAACGTCTTTCAATGCTTTAACTGATTCTATAAGCGCAGACACTAGAGCTTTCAAGCCTGTAAAAATTGTTAAACAAATTTAAAAATGGATACGTATTTATGCTTTGATGAAATAAAAGAAACGAAAGTAATAGATTTGAATACCAATTTATCGTTCGGATTCAGCAAATTATGACCAAATTAAGTTATGAATGGCCACATTTAAAAATAAATTGTGGTGCACGGTAAATATGGAGTAGTCCCCTAGGCGCCAAAACATACCCCGCCACGTGTTAATTGACGCACACATTAACAGAAACGCCGCCAAACGTTCCCAAGTTCAAATTCATTGCTTGGTTCCAAATTTACATAAAGTAATGAATCAAAATATATCATCTAATATTAGTATGTATTTACTTCCCCGTATGCCTATTACGTTATTTCGACATGGGGTGTTCCTGTCACATCTGTCTCAATGTTCTGTTATTACCCCAAAGAGTAATGAAATACGTTTACCTGGTATGGCTGATATAGCTTTCAATGCTCGTAAAACACGAAACGCTCTCAAAGCAGCCATGCCCGGTATCTTTGTTCCTTTCCCTTCTCCCTGCGATGCAGCGCGAACAGCCATTGCGATATCCATATAGCTGTTTTTAAAAATTGAGGAGAACAAAATTAATCTCAATAGTGATGAAAAACATGTGATTTGGAAAGAATTAATACTAAATAAAAATGAAATCTGTTAAACCAGGCTAAAGCAAAGAGACCGACTTATTAACTGTATACACGTTAAAATTATATATACATGATAAAAGTTGCCTTGCCAAGCAAATATGCCTATCGCTCTGGACACCAAAATATAACATATTTTGAGTAACTAAATATAATTTTGACATTATCCCTTTCACATTATCCGAATGTCATTTTATTTCGCACGCAAAAAATATCCTTTAATCCAATGTTCCCATACTTACGCAGTGATGATAACGCTAATATCAAGTAAGTTCCAAGCATCTCTCATGTACGTAAAAGGAGAAAAAGCGAAACCGCGTGATAGTATTTTGACGATGGCCTCAAAAGAGTAGATTCCCAGGAATATTCGCCTGTTAAAAATTTCATGCGGTACAAATAGTAACGCTTTAATGCAACGACAAAATCGATGAATAAGTATTGGACATGCATAGCAGGTGGTGCAACTGCACTCTCATCTTCACGGGGCAAAGACGAGCAAGTCGATAGATTTTAATGCACGGGAAGCGACATTTTCATTAATAATGAATGCTGCTGGAGGGACTCATTCGGAAATAAACTGCACTGAGAGAGAAGTCATGCCATGGCATTGATGCATTCATGCTAAACGTTACTGATGTATAAAAATATTGCGATTTCTGCTTTGTAATTGTTCTACATATACGCATGCATACGCAACAAATCTACATTTGTGCTTTATAATATGAAAGTTTAAGAAGTTATGGACTTTTCATGAATATAAATAAAATCAAAATGGCGTAGTTTGTATACTAAGATGAGAGTGATCAGCCATTTGATTATTTCTTGGGCGTATAAATTTTCATTATTTAATTTAAAAGATATACTTTTTTTGAAAATGTAGGTGAAACAAATAAATAACGATAACAAAACTCACTCAACGTAGTTGTCTACCCAGTCAATATTTTTCCCGAATGTCATGAAGAAGCAATTGCAAAGAATGGTGAGCATAATAATGCTGTTGAACACTGTGCATATTTGTACAGTCAAGGAAAAATGCATTTTTTATCAATAAAAAAATAGGAAACAATAATTGCTAATTTATTCCATGGTTTGGAAACATTGCTGCATTTCATAAAGATTTTAATTTCAATAAAAGTATATAATGATCACATGTTTGAACTTAAATTAAAATCGGAAAGGTTTTATTTAATATTAATTTTGACGGTATTCTGATTGTAACCAAATAGAAAATAACCGTTTAACTTGCAAACGAGTGCAATACAAACGCACGATGTGCCATATATTTTTTTGTATCAAAATGTGGGTAAATCTTACCAAAGAACAAATCTGGTCAGTACCGGACCGAATGTCGAACTAATACTACAATGTTTTCATAAAAATGACGAAGGGCTAGACGAAAATATTGTTAGTATATATTTTTCAAAGGATATGAATGAATGTAGATTCTGTTTGTGATTTTTCTTACAATGTTGAGGGGACCGAGACAATATAACGCCCTGTCACATGTCAGCCTGTAGATCACGTAGTTCTTATCCAAAATTACGTACGTCTGAAAACAAACATAAGTGATAATTAGACAGGAAAGATTAGGTACAAATATAGGGTCATAATTTTACTGGGATAAAATTTACAATTTCTCAACTCCCTCTGTGAAATGGGCTTGGATTGAACAATGTAATGGCGAGGTTTTAAACCTGGTCGCTTAGCATAGATCCACACGCTAACAATGCTTATAAAATATTTAAAAGTCAAACCCAAGGCCGGAAATATTTTTAGAATATTATTGATATTAGTAAATATCTAAACTAATCTAAAGATAAAAAATGAGATAAATTAAGATTCCGTGAAATTTGACTAGACTACAGAATGAACCGCTGTTGAGTTTTTGTCAAGTCTGTTAACAATTTTGTTTAAATTATTCGAGAAGTTACAGCGACAAATATTTTCATTTTTCTTAACCGCACCATCTGTCAACATCCTATAATTTTCTCTTTTGTTATTTTAGTTTGTTAAATTCTTGAAAATTATTTACTCCTATTTTTGAAAGCGCAACGCATTCTAAAACTTTAACTATACGCATCTGCTATGAAAAGCTGAAAGCGTCATTTTGGTGTGTCTTAACTCAATGGTTTCCGAGCTGTAATTTTCACATTTATTAGCGCTATTTGATATATATGTATTATATAATGAATCATTATAAGTATTTTTGAATAATATGTGAACAATATGTGCGTCAGACTCCAAATGATTCATTTAAAATGAAATTCAATAATATGCAACAATTTCACCACAAAATTTATGATTTATCGCCATGCTAAAGGTGGTATTTGTATATTACCATCTGAAATATTATACTTTTTTTATGAGTGACAATTAACAATTTTTGGTACTAAATTGATTCCATATGAATGTTTTTATTTCTGAGATCGAAATTTTCAGAAATGTCTCAACTAAATATTTTGTCAACTTTGACATAACATTTGAATTGTGAGAGACGCAATGTGAGTTAATTTTCGTTTTGTATTTGGATAAATTTCTTGTTTAATAAAAAATCGATAGCTACGGGATCACGAAGTATTATCTGGTATATTCAGCTTAGCCTAAACACTAATACTACCACTACTTACCCTTTTATCGGCATAGTACGGATCGATATCAACCAACTCTTGGCAGAGGTAATCATCGGGTATGTCTCCTTGTAAATATTCAGGCAACGTTTTTCCTTGCTCTAAATCGATGTTTGGGTGTATAGGCGGAGGTGTATTGTCGCTTCCCTAGTTTTAAAAAGAATATGTATATATTTATACATGAGTAAAGTTAAAGCTGAATTTTTATAAATTTATATTATTTCCATTATTTGGTAAATAATACTTGATTTTAGCCAATTATCCAATCGTTCGAATGGCCAGCTATTCAAAGAAATCAGTCGCACAGACCACGCGATCTTTATTCGAATTGAAAACAATTTTTAAGAAAAGCAGTAAAAAGTTTGAATATTGGACAATTTGGTGGAGAAAATTGAGATTAATATAATTTATAAAATTAGGTTTCCAAAATGTTCTCACAACGATAATCATCATTTAATAAATAGTGTGATCCCCCTTTCTTGTGGTTTCATTCATCTCTTTTTGAGTGTGTGCCAAACTTTTGTAATCTTCAATTCAATTAACCTAACGTTGAATTCCAATATCAATTTCTCAGTTTTGAAAAAGGTTCCAATTTTTGTCTATGTGTATCATGATTTTTTTGAATACGCATATGTAAAAACAAGTAAACTGCTAAATTGAAACTTATTTGCTCTTTTCAAATACGCTTCATCATACTTACGCTGTTGACTTTAGGAATCGAGATTCGGAATTTTCCGAATTGTTAATTTTCATTGTCCAGAATATATTATCAGTGAACATCGAGGTTACGCTCTATTGTACATGATAACTATTATAGATGACGTTATGAAATTTATGAGGTAAATACAATTAGTTGGTCTTTATTTCGATTGTTCGCTTAAAAACCAGGAAGCATATTGACTTTGAATGTCTATTATATCAAAAAAATGAAGTATCGCATTATAAACTTATTATGGATAATTTATTGATGAACATTGAAAAATATTCACATTCCACCAAATTCTGTTGAAGTCGAATTATATGCTATAATATGAATGGCCAAGCAATGTTCTATTAAAGTTCCAATCCAAATTAGAATAGTTGTACTATCAACTTATGATGTATTGGAAAATTGATATTACGTATATTTTGGAAATTTTCTGAGAAATTTTGGAAAGTTTTAAAAAACTTTCCGCACAACATGAGTTAGAACTTCCTTACTTCTGGCTTTTATGCAATTAATCAGCATGTTTCCTATTAATTAACTTGGTTTAGAAAATAAATTTCGTTCAGTAGTGAATCTATGTCATCGCATAAATAACCAAATCACCACAAATAAATACAAGATCTTACCCTTCTACTCGCCCTGTGTTCGTCTCTTGATTTTGTACTGGTGGTATCATTTATATTCCTGAGATGTTCACGGGTTAATTTTTCAACGGTGATGTCAGCCAATTCCAACGCAGACATTATTACGAAAATTGTAAATAAATATTATTGCAAAAGTTTTGAGTCCACAAACATGTGCATCCCATAACACAGCACAAAATGGACGCTCTTGCCCAAGCCTAACAATACTATTTTTCTACAAAAAAAACAAATGTAAATTATTTACAACTTCACGTGTTTATCCTAATTGATTGCAGATTTTTGGGGAGTTATGTGTAAGTTAAGATATAAACTACAAAAGTACATATTTTTTCCTTTCCCCTAGCCAAAATGTTCTTAAGAGAGGAGTAAGACCATGAAATTTTAAAGCTAGGACAAACGAGTGAAAAGTCCTTGCTGGTTCGCCACGGTCTCAAGGATGGCGCGTGTTAAGTCTTGTCATTGTTATCTTGCTTTGGTGATATTTATATCTTTTCACGATTTGCATTGATTACCTTTTCATCCTTATTCTTACCAAATGCATACCAAAAATATTGAATTATCATTTTAAATATCGTACCTCATGAAATGTATTGGTCGCACGTTGAAAAATCCCTCAATGAAGAGAGACAGTGAATATAATATAGCAATTGGTGGAAAAGTTTTAACACGAAGTTCCTGTCTTGTTATTTAGCTGAAGATTTTGGTCAAGCGGTGATTTTTAGTTAGTCACGTCATACATATACCGATACTATTTTTGTGAAAAACTGGAATTATTCAAAATACACTTCCTGAACTGAATGAAAACATGATTTATCTGAACTTTTACTGAATTTCTATAGTTCATTTCTGCTGTCGTGAATAATGAACCGAGGCAACGCGTCAGTCAGGTCGGCTTAAACTGAAACACACAGGTTCCGAGATAAAGCGATTTGGAAACTATGCTTCTAAAAAATTGAGAACAAACTGGTTTTAAAACCATGTTATTTTTTTAAATAAGATTCAAAATATTTATCATAAAACTCTGGTGTTTCGATGTTCGCCTGTAACTATGATCGGGGATGAGACTTCTTTTCTTCTCATTGATTGCGCGAGACCTCGCTTTCAACAACGACTCCTAAAATCCTGTTACGAAGTGGTTCCGATATTTTTTATGTCCAATTTTATTTCTACCACGTAAGAAACTTATGAAGATAATACACACTAATACTTTTTCAATTCGGATAAAGCAACTGGAAAGCGTTCTATGATTTGACTAATTGAAATCATATCAATATAACACTGATTCAAAATTATTGCACTCTGATTTCTAGTTTATGATTTACCTCGAAACATCATAAACATACTGTATTTTTTTCTCGTGATCAGCAAGCATTTATCGACAAAAACGTTACAGATCCCTTGATTACGTTCAAGGTTGGGAATTTCTCGAGGGAATTGATTGCAAAGAGTCGTCAAAACATTAGTAACTATACTGGCTCAAGGCGGATTCGCTGCTGAATAACTGGAAAATTCACGGCGTCAAGACAGTAATTTTAAGTTATAGTATTTAAGGACAAAGGAATGATGTACCACCTGCTATATTGAATAAAATACACAGACAACAACATACTCGATTCAACATAAATCTAACTAGTACATTGTAAATGAGCTTTGCTCAAGTTTGTTACTGTAAAAATTAGTAAATGGTATGAGTTATATTTAATGTATAGTATTGTATAACTGCAAGTGACTTATTAACACGAAATAAAGTGATTTTTTTTAAATATTGCTCCAAATAATTTATTTCAAATATTAAAACAATACTCTGTCATTTTGAATCAAATTTATAATTAAGAACATTATTATTTTCCATCGTATCCCCATTACTCGAATACTGTTTCTGTCTGCATTTTCGCGCTCACGACATTTCCATACCTACCTGCTCATTTTTACTAATGATTGTGAATTTTTAATGTCATTTCATTTAATTACAGCCAATTACAAAAGCGATTTAGCTGAGCCTAGCCAGAATACCATTACACATCATGATAATCTACTCTCATGAATCATCCCGAGCTGTAACTACTGATACAACACAATTATATAAAACTGAAATACAAGTAACAGAACATAAAAAAAATGTCTGGGAAATTTAATATTCCAAATCATACTATATTTGCCACTTTGTTAGTGACAAATTTCTTACATACAAAAGATATTTCCCAAGCTTCCAATCACATCATATATTAATCCAGCTACTACCATACAGAAATTTATAGAGATAACTGTCGACGATGCGAATGGGTGGGTATACTATCTAACAGACTCATTAGCAATAAAATATGAATTGCATAATCAACTGGGAGTCAAGCAATGTCAATACTTTTCGTCTAAATTACCGTGTTGGCACAATTTAGTTTTTTCGGGAGTTTTTATCGAAATGAATCAGACCACCCCGACGTTTATAGCGCAAAGCAAGTAATAGCACCTTACCATTATGTTTAACTAAAGCCTAATTAATGGCATACAGTTAGAATCATACACAAGTATGAGCTGATGCCTTTATACATATCGCTTTAGAAATTTTATTATTCCCTCCACCTATAATTCACGCTTAGTACAGGTATAATCTGCTTATTAATTTATTAATTGGTCGTTATTGGACTGCCACCTGGTAAAATCTATATTCTGTTAATCAAATCTTATATTTTTGTATATGGACGTTGACGTCAAGCTCTATTAATAAAATATTATCTTTCGTTTTATTGAATTATATCAAAGCCACATTCATCGGTGTCGTTGCGGAGTGGGTTGTGTGAAATAACAAATCTGTTTGTCTATTTTATGAAATTCGTTTGAATATTCATTACCTCATTCGTTGTTATAACTCGTGGAAGTTGGCAATAGTCGAATCAAAGTCGACTATCCGTCAGTACATGTTGATAGAACAATCTGAAACCTTTGAAAAATCTGAATGCTATGCCATACATACAATCTAACTGAGTTGAATTGAGTTTATGATCTTGATTATCTCCCAATCATTTGTCTATAAGTTTGACTTCTGGTTTCATAATAACGCCACACAAAATTATAACGATTTATCGCCTAGAACCGTTAGTAAACTAAAACAGCAGTTGGTCAATTTCAACAAATCAACAAAATCAAAACAAATCTCATTAATTCTGGAACAAACTGAGATAACCAAATAATGCCTGTAATGTGGAAACGACTTAAATCGACACACGAACTAAAAAAATGCAGGCCAAAGGCTAAGGTTCAAACTTTCAATACATTAACCTTTTTTCTACATATTCGTGAATCTGTAACTTCACTGATTTGGCAGCAACAGTTAGATCTTGAGACTAATATAGGTGACAACATCTCGCTCGCTCATATCCATATCGATGTACTGAATAGTGACTTCGTTCCTGCAACTTATTTTATTCTTGATTTAGGATATATTTATCGAATTAATAACATTTCAATTGCGTAGATTATCGGCCATATTCTACAAGGATTTACGCACGCCAAATGAAATAACAAATAAAATAAAATCAATTGTAATCCGGCAAAATCAGATTGAGTGTGAGCAATCTATTGACCAGATAACTTCATCATATTAGTTGTCTTTTCCTTTGCGTATTCTTGAGGTTCTTTATTATGGTGATATCATATATGACTCGTCGATGAAATTGGTTTCTATAATACACTTATAGTTGGGCTAAACATATATCATATTTATTAATTTATCTAGTTGGGGAATGGAAAAGATTTCCCAGTGCCTCCTGACTCATTTGAAAATCATTAGGCATTGGTCGATTACGCAATGATGATAAATTTTTTGTTGGGTTTAAAGTGAATAACTATTTCTTCAGCCGATGTTTCTACAATTTAACCATATTCAGAACTCAAACAGCATTATTGAGTAACTTTTTGGGATTCCACTTTACATTACGCCAAGTATAGACGGCTAATGTAATCCAATTTCGTGACAGATTACATTAAAAAGTCAAATGTCTAATAAACAGAATTGGAAAAAAAAATGTTGTTAGGCGATTATTTCATTGTTAAGCTGTAAAGCAGTATTTAGTAAGCAGTATTTATTCATTATAAAACTAGGATGAAAAGTATAGAATCTTCATTGTATGCTGAGACACTACGGCGAATTATTCTTGTTAGGTTGCAATACAACAGATTGGAAATTCCTATTGCTTCTCATAATTATTTCAGAATTGAAAATGGCTTTATTTGTCCATACTTGATATTGAAATTTTGTTCTCATTTAGAACAAAAGAACAATTCTTCGGATCACCCCCCGGAAATTAAATGTGGTGTTGTGGCATTTTGATTATGTGACGACTGATTGCGAGAACTGCGCGTTTGACCCAAGTTTATTGGAACCTGCCACCGGTTTTCTCAATCAAAAACCGATGACAGGTTTGTCTCCAGAGATTTTACAAAACTCTGAACACAAATGCATGGGATCTGGTACGAACATGTATTTTGACTACCAATTTCACGCCCTCGGAGTAGAAAACGTTCAAATGCTTACAAAGACAAAATGGGAGCGAGCGGTGAATGAAATGAAATTTCAACTCAGTACGTTCATTCTTACATGTGTGACTCATACAAAAAATACCCTAAACTTCTAATTAAATTATTTGTCACCAACACCTCTGTAAGCCATCTTCAAAAACTTTTTAAGGACAAATACTACTATGGGTTAGAAATTGTGCCTTGGAAACGGATGTTGGCTCGTATTAATATTGTTAAATTTCTTATTTATACCTATTTATCAGTCGTTTCTATTTCGTGAACGAGTGCTTCAATATAAGTCTGTCAATACCAGTGTATACAATGAGCTATTTCCCGATACGTTCCATGTACGTCATATTGGTTGCCTAATCTTCCTAGACGGCAGACTTAGCCAAAATTATTCATTTCCCAGGAGAGAGTATTTGATGCTAACGTACAGGGCAATTAGACGGTACCTGAGGCGTGAGTGAGGCCAAGTCAATTTATCAAATACACAATATGTCTCGCTGAAAATTGGATATGATTGATGTAGAGGTGTTGTCCAATTAGAGCATTTACAATGATTTTCTTAGCTTTACCCTCTCTTGTTTTATGAAATTATTGGTGGCTCCATTGCCTGATTGTAAGAATACGAATCAATCTCGATGGAAATATTGTTTCTTATGTAGAATTTGGGCGTTCTAAAATTGTCTGTTGTTTAATTTATAGAGCAAGTACACAACATTATTAAACAAACGGACAATATCGATATGCTTCTAAGATAAGCATATTAAAAGCTATTCGTACAGATGCTTCAAACTGCAGAGGTGATTGCTAATAACATATAGACAATATTTGATTCAAGTACGATATGCAAATCTGGCATAATCTAGGAATTGTCTTGTTAGAATACATCATATAAGACCCAAAGTATTGCTTTGCTCAATTCGACATGTAAAAAACGTTGTTCCTGCTTGTACAAGTCTTCGGTAATTTTGAAAATAACATCATTGTGTACGTATGCTGCGACTAAATTTTGAAGTATAAAAGGGAATCAAATATTAATGTAAATATTCAATAGAAGCAAAATAGAAGAATTATTATCTTAATGAAATCCTCTTTTTTATTCCGTATATCAATGCAATTTGCTTAAATAGAAATAGCAAATTCTCAAATTAGTCGTCGGCGTTCTTTGTATTTGGAATACCGATTTTTCCTAATCAATATTTTGTCTATTGTTTCATAAAATCAATAATAATAACAAACGTTCCGTCGACATTGATTATCCCTCTTTATGTGGTCACACATATACAGTAAAGTAAATACGAGCTTGTACAAGTCTTTCTCTTATCACTTATATCAATTACATCTGTGTCCATATGTTCGAAGATTATCTGGATTTCCAGATATATCAATGATTACCTGTCTCTATCGCTTCCTTTTTCTAGCGAGTGTTGGATTAAAAATCGCAAGAGAGTATTCCACATAACCAAACGTGGCCCATATATAAGCAAGATTCAGGTATACGCAGCCCAAGATCGACCGCTAAAAAATGAGTAAAAACTGAAATGAATATTATTACAGTATAATTTATGCAAGTTTAGTATTAAAATTAAACCACTTTTTGTAGTGACGACTAGAATGCAAAATTACTGATTATTAAACAAAAGATTTTGTTCATACAAAAACTATAGATTTTAGTGAGGAGACTACACATACAATAAAACTTGATATTTTTGACAAAATACTACCGTTCTTATTGTTGACTTAAGCTTTTACATCCTCTCGAAGATTTGCCCTATAGTTGATTAAGCTAAAATGTGCGACATTAAGCTACCAAAATTATGGTAAAATATGACACCCAGGTTGTTAAATGGCATATGTTCCAAATTAGAAAGAAGAGTATCCATATCTTCAATATCGTTGATAATATCTAATCTTGTTTACCACTGTTGCTCATTAAATATCTAACCTGTTAGAGAGTACTATTGAACTGAATTACTGAAGATCATCTACTTATCTACGACATGGCGAGTGAACCTATCAAGTCCTTCCATCACGTAGAGTCAGATCTGCGTTCCACACGCGAATATGCGTCTACGTTTCCAAACTTTACCCCACTGAATGGTACGACTGAATAGAATCATCGTTTCTCATTGATATGTGCACTGACATTTTTATGGATCGTCCGTGAAGGAAGAAAACTACACAAACGTTTAAATAATTAATGTTAAAAGATAAATGATAAACGAAGTAACGATCGGTGACAGTAAAAGTGCATTGGACGAACCTGTTTCGTCAGAAGGGGGAATATTTAAATGATGCTTTTACTATAATGACAGCCGCACAATGCATCTTCTATGAAAAAGCTGTTTCCATTTAAACAAAACGTGAGCTGTCGTTTTATTTAAAAGCTCATATAAAATGTAAGAGATCTCGGACGCGAAAGAATTTGAAGAACGTGTATACGAAGTATGATATAGTGATACCCGATTAACAACCAACGCTTGCCAAACTACTATCCTGACCAATTCCAGCGCTAATCTATAAGGTCACGAAAACAAAATTATTTCAACAATTGCATACAAATATCTATAATTCGTAAGAGATGCCTTTCACTTACGTCGTTCCGAATACGCATAATAAGATTTTATCTACAGTTGCTTCTATTTCTATACCTATATTTGCTTTGGATTCACCTGAAGATTTTCCATGAATACTTATACTACTGGTTTTCCGCTTCTCTTAAGGATACTATTTTTTCCTATTCACTGTATTTCAATCTTATGAGCTAATGTAAGAACCAAGCTACGAATACTTAATGATGGTGCTCGGTTAGTGAGCGAACGAGAGCGTAACATCGTCGTTGGTTTGTATTGATCCAGGATTGTCGAACAGGGTTGCATTCGTCTTCTAATTAGCGGCGGGGCATTGTCCGACTCAAGTTAAAGTAATCTGGGTGAAGACGACGATATTTGCTCATTTTTTGAACTTTGCAATTTTCCGTAAAATGCTAATTTTCCGAAGAAGTCAGGCAAAAGTTGATAAAACTAAGAACGCGATGAAAGGTAATTACTCTTTCTAAAATGACGTCCGCTCCGTTGGAAATATGTATCGCTTTTATAGGACTTCAGAGGGTAGACGCGTAATCATGAATTATTTAGCGCAACGATGCAGCCTCTGAGTTGTAAGTTTGTTCTTGCTAGGAATCCGCCCGGTCATGCGCCATGAGCGAAGAACGTTTGGAATGTCATGTTCATGTACGGACCATCTTGCGATTGATGCAAAAAAGGACATTTTTCTTTATTGGTCTTCCGAGCGCTACCGTAGTGAGAAAATGGAAGTCACCTTATTCGCTCGTCGTCGTGAAGGTCTTTCCTAAATGAAATAATCTTTTATGCACCGTCGATTTTGCGACCAACGCGTCACAACAGTGCACTTTTGGCACGGAAAAAGGAAATGCACTTCGCTTTTCGCAATGTCATAAATCGATAGCACAGTAAACAACCTGTGAGGGCGTTTCCACCAACTGGTCTAATAATGCTTGTAATGGTTTTACTAGAAGTCAAAGGTAGTAAGAACTAGATTGATTGATATCTATCAATGTTCACTTCTAAATAGGACGATTATACGCTTCATTCGTCCAAAACAAAACCGCTCGGAAAGAAGTGAAAAAATCCTAAAAAATTCTACCCTACTTGCATACGTAATCGAAAGCTAGCTTTACTAGACATCTGAACATAGTCATTGGCGCGTTTATCATTCTCCTGCCCTTACTATACCCTTCTTTCTTTGAAATCTGTAATATACGTTTTCCGTGGCCAAAAATTTTTTTAGGTGGCGTCAAAACGGCGATTCAATTTCTTCCGTTCTCTAAATACAACCCTGTAGTTTATATCAAAATAGCGTTCTGTTTTTAGAGACAATATTTGTATTAAAACTCCAAAATATCGCTCAAGTTCAACATAACTTTTGAATATTTTGCCGACCATGATAAAATCTTCTTCCAACAGTTTTGGTAACAATCAGACAGCCATAAATATTTGGAGTGTCATAGGCAGGATTTTTCTACGTTGGACATATCTTATATTTTTAAACAAAATCTGCAGTTTGCATTTGGAAGTGTATCACCAAGTAATTGGAAGAAAATAGATCGTTTAGAATGGGATCAACGAGCGTATTTCGACAATTACCCTGGATGTCTTTAGGCTAGTTCACCTAATGTAATCTGTGAAATATGCAAGATTTCGCTGTGCGGATGCGCAAATTTTTATTAAACATTTAAAAAAAATTGAAAATAATATATTACTAATGAAAATAACGTAAATCCAAAGTGTAAGTAAGTAAGCTGGAAATTGAGTCCGTTTCAATAGGAATTATTCGCTGTTAACTTTTGGTTTTCTTGGGTTATTCTCGATCAGCCAATCTGCAAGCCAAGTCTGAAAAATATAATGTTGCCAATAATAGTGTCATTATAAAACACACGATAACGTTTGAATGTGTTTCTAAAACGATTTCCAGTATCTGAGAATGTGGGTTCATTAGTCAATCGGTTTCATAAATTTCTTACTTATACAAGCTTGCTCTTTCTCCACTTTCAAAAAAACATAAATATTTTATTTGATGTGAACCATATGTAAACCGCACTCGTTTACAATGAGATTTATATACTCATTTAGGAGTGGCCAAGATTACTCGTGCGGGTGGGATTTTCTAAAATTGACAAATTAAATTAAAATCCAACTATGTGGCAACGGTGAGTACTGTTTCTCCAAGTATGAAATATAAATGACAAACAGCTTGCCAATGTGTTCCATCAGTTATTTATACTTGACGCGTATATATATTATGATGTATGTACTCGTACATAGAGTTGGGCAGTGTGATATAAATGTTTAATTAATAAATGATCTGAATTTAAAAAAAAAAAGGAAACAAAACGAATCAAAATTAATGTTTACTAACACAACATCAGTTTTTGAAACGAAAGAAATTATTTTATAGTGACTTTTATAGTGACATTCAGCACCGGCTTACTGTTGGTAACAATTTCCCCTTGAATAGGAGTTTTAGCAGTACCGTCCAATCCCATAGCTCAAAACATGCTTGTTTAGTCGGTTTGATACTACAGCAAAACCCTTACGTCACAAAACGATTACGTTATCTTTAGGTGTGTGTCATAGCCAAAGCTAACTTTAGGGAATTGGAATAATACTCACTATTGGATCTACTGGTTTCTGCTTGCATAACGCCGTCAATCCGTGTAATAATGTAGGTTGAACTTGCTTCGTGACGTAATCTTTTGCCGATTGTTGTGTAGATATTGGTTCCAAAATATCTGTTTAATAAAAATAATAAAAAACAATATAATTGTTATTTAAAAAAGATTACGAGGATGAATGGGCAATCTTTAAATTAAACCTATAACAAGTACTTTATGATTTGTTCTAATAGCGATGTCAACAAGAAGGTTATTAACTGTTGTGTTCAAAATCATATTGTCAACTCGAGTATTGTAATTTAGTTTACATTGATCAGTTTAATTTATGTAGTAAAATATCAATCAATTAATGTTTTGTTTCATTTCCATTTTTGCTTCAAGTCTCGCGTCAACCGATAAGTTCTCGCATAATACCCCACCACAATTCTGTATATTTCGAGTATCTATTGATATTTCATTAGTTGCTTATGAGTTGGCTGAGAGATCCTTTGTTCACATTCAAGGGGGTGCGCATATCCTTGCTTTGAGCGAGTTGATGCAAGGATGAACAACAGGAATTATCAGTCAATAATTGTTGGACACGAAGCGGAGATTTGCTTATTAATAATATTTTTATCTTTCACCACTTAAAAGATATCACAGATGAACATATCCTGTAGGCTAGATCTATTTTTGGCATGTGTTCGGAAAAAAAACTTCTCGAGTTTTGAACAATTTCTGCATTTGAAGCTGCGTTGTAGTTGTCAAGAAAATTCGCTATCGCGAAAGTGACAATATTGTAAACAAATCCCCAACGACGATTTCAGACAGTTAATTCATATGTAAATATTTCTGACAGATGCAGTACTTACAAAGCGCCCAAACAAAGCACACATTCATAATCTCGGTTCAACTATAAACTACACATATATGTGCATATGCAACATTGTAGTTGGGTCATCTAAATATAATCATAAACATATGCGTCACGTCCAAGTCCATTAACGCTTTTACTTGACTACTCTTCGCAACCGCATCAAGGGCCAAAAACCCTCCAGTAGCAAGCAAGTCATAAATAAATACACCCGAGTCGTTTTTCCAAAGGGACTTCGATGCAAATTGCAATGGTCGATAAATGATGCTTAGTCCGTGGATGGAACGCAAATAACTAGTACTTTACGATGCGACACACTCCAAGTTCATTCTTTTATTGGGATGTTGTCTGTACAGGCCTGGACAATGTATATAAATCTGAGCAGAAGATAATCTTTGCGTGTTGTTGCCTATCTTTACTATTGCAATTGTCTTTTCTTAGTTTGCGACACCACACCAACTACTCATTCTGCAGTACCAGTACCTTAAATTGTTTACCAATCGACGGTCAGTATCAATGCTTTAATTAGCGATAATTACATTGATTAATTATTTGATTACGTCGGCCTACTGACCGAGTCACTTTTGGAAAACTTCTGTTTGGCCAGTTGTTAGGGCCGGCTAAAAGCCGGGTTTAGTTTTGAGATATAAGCGACGCAAAATACAGGAAAATATGGAGAAATAATCATGCTTTAGGTTACATTAGTTGTTGTTTTTTCCTCCAATATATAACAAACCGTGGATTTGTTGGGGGAAATTAAGCCAGGCCTTCGTAATCTTTCATGATACCTCATGGTACAAAAAGGACTAACACTGGTGTTGTCACATCAGCATTGCGTCCATGCATGTTTATTCAGTTTTGTGATATAAATGAACTTTATATGTATATCGCAGAAGTTTTGTCTCTCCAGTACATAATATTTATATTGAAGTTTATTGCTATTCCCTACAAAATTATTACAAAGTGATCTTTAGGTCGGAATCAATACACTTATTGGTGGGAAAGAGGTTTGTGGATGATGACAAAATATATTGCGTTAATATATAATACACTACACTATATCAGTGGTTCAACCTTTCCGAGCTCGTAGAACCCCTGCGCTATTCGGCATGCTCCCGCCGAACCCCGTCGTATTGAATGGATGAAAACATGAGTCCGTCCGATCCTAACTTTATAAAAGGAAAGCTAATTTTGTGCAAGGTTATAAAAAATGAATTTTATGGTGTAATCTTAGATACAAATATCCAGTGTTGAAATAGCCATTGTTTTGTCACAATAGTGTCGGCGCGGGGAACGCAGATGTTTTTTTTGTATAAGTTGTGATGGTGAAAAGGCGGAAAACGGATAAAAAAAAATAGCAACTCTGAAAATCCAAACAATGATAATATGTGTCAAAAACGTTAATAGTTCAAGTCATTCGTTTCTCGAACTTCAAACTGCATTGAAATGCGGATGAAAGCTTTTTCCAATTGTTTTATTTTACAAAAGTGGAGATACGGTATGCCTCGGCGCCATATCGAGGTTGTCTGGAACGGATGATGATAATTTCGAGCAAAGCTTTGCAATTAAGTATTCTTTGTCGCGAATTTATCACCTAGGAAAATTTAAACACGCTCTAATATCGCATTCATTTGTGTACATTTATTGTCAATCTTCGATTTATCCGTAAAACTCAGTTTATAACTTTTATTAATTAATACGGTAGATTTTGAATGAGGGTCACGTAAAAATTCAGCTCAAAAACCCTTGGTTTGTTATAACAATCCAAGATATTTCAAAGCCATAAGCAGAAAGCATTTAAAAACGCTATCATAGATATATATTTACAAACACCAAAGCGCACGAGTTTTCAATGAATTGTACTAGAATCTAAAACATATTGCCGGGTTAACTAAAACTTATATTTGCGCGACGACAAGGCAATAAATCCCGTAATATAAAACTGTTTTTGAAGATCTTCGTCGAACCTCTGGAGCACTTCCACCAAACCCCAGGTGTTCGATTGAATCCAGGTTAAGAACCACTGCAATATATATTTAGTTTGCATCGGCGTGAATTTCATTTTTTCTACAGCATTGTTTTTCTGTTGCACGTCATGGTCAGCACAGTTTAATATGGTTCGTGCTTAAGATTTCCTAATTTAAGTTCACTTACTGCCACTAAAAAGGAATCCAATTTCTCGTTCAGCAGATTTCATATTATCACTTCCATGTACGGCATTTCTTGTGTGGTCTTTTCCGTAAATTGCTCGCAAAGTCTGAGGCTGGTAGTCTCTAGCCTGAAGGTTCGTAATGTAAGGATGTTCAGGATTGTTATTGTATCTGTATGGTTATCAATTTTACGATAATCAGAACTATAAAAGTGACTTATTAAAGCGTTGTATTTTAGAAATGTGAAGCTTCAGATTCATTTGTTTTGAACTACCAACATTAGTATGATATTATATACCGTAATACTTGATTCTATAGGCGGGGCTGAAGATTTGTCCTTATTTTGAAGGGCTTTGTCTTAGAAAATATTTTTGCCCTTATTTCTAAGAAACGTCCTTATTTTGACATGTGTACTTACTTTTTTTTATTTATTTCAGGAGTAAAGGTTCTTATATCGGGTTCTTAGATTGGTCAATTCGCATGATTGATTTGCTAGAAATGATATTAGAACCTCTTGATTGCTACGCGCATTCGTGACGTAATAACAGCAAATTAATTACCACAAGATCAAAACAATAGCCTACAGGCAAAGATCAGTACATGTAACTTAAATCAAAATACAGTAGTGAATCTAATTTTAATCTAATCTAATCGAATTATACAAGTGAGGGTGAACTCAGAAGTGAGATGGAACAGATAGTTTCTAAGAATAAAAAACTGCTGGAGCAAATTGTTTCTAGTGCAAAGTATGATTAGACACGGATCGCACTGGCATGAAAACATTTTGTTTATTGCATTTCGTTCTTTGTTATCTTAATATTACATTTCCCTGATGTCTTTATTTTTGGGTTCCTATTGACGGCAAGTGGAAAAATTTATTTTTTGCATTTTGGCCTCTGCCTAACGTTAGGAAAACAAATTAACTAGAAATGATGAACGTCATTGACATAAAACTGCATTTTAGCGAAATGATGAGAAGAAGAATAACTTTATTTCGGGGCGCAAATTCAAATACAGTATTTAAATTATAACGAAATCTGTATTGAAAACGTTACTTCAAAATACAATATATTCTTTGGCATATTGTGCTGATAATTGTACTTATATACAATATATTAAGCATTAAGTATACCTTAAATGGGTTAGCATGCCCCATGGTCTCATTCCAATCTTTGACAGCGTTGTTTTTACCTAAAACCATCACTAAAATTGGTCCAGAACTTATATTTGCTATTAAACTTGGAAAGAACATTTTTCCGTAATGTTCCGAATAAAAATCGCTCGCTTGTTCCGGTGTCAGATGAATCTTTCTTTTCTGCATAATAAAAATAAAGTGTATATAGTTTATTACATGTACGTGAAAGTTATATTGATAATAGAATTATGTGTCTGACATATATATATATATGATATATATTTTTTCACCCACGCTGTTATTCTTATGTTACTGAACTTTATTGACCCTCTCATTTCTTACCCACGTTTCCCTATCTGTACTTTCGAATTTTTTTCGGCTAAAACAAGCAATACATACCTGTAAAATCATGAAACCTTTTCTCATTATCAAATCTTCGATTTCTGTCGCTTTGTCCATAGCATCTGGTTTTACGATCGCGAGAGTGCGCTCAAGAGTAATTTGGTAGACAGAAGTTTTCTCAATCTTTTCGTGAGAGGTTGAGTCGTTGTATTCACTCGATGTGTCGCTTGAAAGACTATAAGAAAATGTATGCTCTCAGTAGAAGTTTTCAGAGCGAATCTGACATTTGTCCAGTGGCCTCTTACATTTCGACAACTGGACGATTTTGTCAAAATAGTCCAGCATGGTTCAACATCGGGTACTCCCGTAGTATGTAAACCAAGATGGCGGACACCGGAACGTAGTATGTGTACCAGGTTAGGTTTAGGCCATAATTTCAGGTACAAATACGACGGGTGTCACTTGGATAGTCTTCGAACTCGTAATAGAACTAAAATAAGGAACATTAGAACAAAAGTATGGCCTAATCCTAACCTGGTACACATACTATGTTCAGGTGTCCGCCATCTTAGTTCACATACTACGGGAGCGACCAATATTGTAATGAACTGTCACTGCAAAAATATATTTAGTGTAGTTGTTATGCAGTTTATTTCATTCCATCCAAAGCATAAAAATTACGAAAATACACGAACCTGAAATTAATGACTATTGTGAATTACAAATTGATTATGTACAGAAGCAGGTTTCGACCACGATTTGTTGAACCTTAGAAAGAACCACAAGAACTAGTTGTTGGATGGTAATTAATTAATATTTTACCCTCTTAAGATTGTATTGCTTAAGGCAATCTTAGTTCTTCGTCTTTTTGTTATAGTCAATACATAAACGGCTCAAGTCTGGAGTTGTGAACGACTTATTTGTTCGTGCCACAAACTTGTGTATATGAATATCTCAATATGAAATCGACTGAGCATTAGTGTTTGGTTCCTCCTAAATTTTTTGACAATGACTTGTAACATATTTCTAAGATAGACAGCTCCCTTTGAATTCAGCACAAAAATAAAAGTTTGTAATAAAAATAAAAGCAAACTTGTGTAACAATTCCAAATTACCTGCTTTGTTCACTATCATCTTGCAGAACATCTTCTCCTTCGTGCAAGTTTACTTCCAATTCTTTGAACTCCGACGAATCCGACATTATATTCTAAAACTTTTTACTTTTAATACGAAAATACTAAACGCATGTATATATTAAAAAATATATTACGGTTTGGTTAGTTATTAGAATTAGCTGTCGCCATTTCAGAAGTGGTTATCTGACACTGGACAGAGAGAGACGATGGGTTGCCGTCCGACTAAACTGTACACTGATGGCTGATAAATTGGATGTAAAATATTTCAGGACCAAGCAGAATTCATCAATCGATCTACTGCATCGAATTCTGTGTCAATGGTTTTATAGACAACAAGTAAACAATGCAGGTAGAACCATTTTTCTTCGATGTCGCATTTATGTGTAGTGTCGTTCCAGAGACCAGTTTTTATAAAAGTGGAGCTAACAGGTTTCTAATATATATGTTGTTTAAAAGTCATACCTTATTATATATTCCTTTAGCTATTATTCAATGTTTTCACAGATTAGCATTCTGTAAATTACACAATCCGAACCCATTCACTGTGCCGGTTTGATTTACTCATTAAAAAATGATTCATCTTTCCTTCATCTTTTACCCCCTTCTCATTATTGCCTGTTTGGTAAGTTACCGCGAGAACTTGTTCCTAATATAATTAGTACTGTCTGCTCAATGAAATAGTTGACTATAGACAGTTAAACAAGATAATTTTACATCAAAGTAAAATGATATCAATTGTATTTAAAACTTCATGAAACCGATACTTTCCTATTGTGAATTGAATTATTACAGACACGGCCCATGTAACGAAGAGACATAAAACTGATTCAAAACATTTCTACCACACTTTAGTTGTCATGGATATGAATTAAAACAATAGCTAAATAATATCAGTTTCTCATTGAAACATTTTGTTTCTTTTTGATTGTAGTTTGGTTGAGACATGTGAAATGTAAACTTCTGACAACCATGCTATCATATACTAGAAGGCAAACAAATAAAAACGATTTATTCTTGAATAAATTACTTATTCACCAGTCGATAACAAATCTCCTAAAAATGTTAATATTGGTTTAATTCTACTAATTTAACATTATTTTACCTCTTGAGATCGTTCGTCTATCAGACCAATATATTGCCATTATGATATTTTGCACAAGCACTCCAAATAAATTACAACCACAAAACATCGCTGTATTATGCTATATAATAGAGCTTTTTTACACACCAACAAACGGTCATACAAAACATCGTATGACGTGAAAAATATGTATGGGCACTGACCAAAAGCTTTTTATAACGAATCTCTTACATTTTTGTGAAATTTTTGTTATGCACGGGTTTAAATAAAATGGCATTTCTATCACTCGTTAAAAACAACGAGCAATACGACCAGTGATTATCAACCGCGGCTCTCAACGCAGCATGTGGCTTTTACCTATTCCTCCTGCGTCTCTCATTAATCCTTTGAAAATTAATCATTTTCAATAAAAATTTCGAGCAAATGCACTCAAGAATCTGAAGTTTAAAAAGTATTTTGCTGATGTTGATGACTATGGTCACATGGTTAAGTTTACTGCAGCACGATGGTCGAGGTAGGCCTACATGCCTCAAATGATTTTATGGCCTCATTCCATTTCTCAAAGAAATAAAAGACAACTCTCACCTTGGCACCTTAGAACGGGTTGCTGATTTAGCGTTCGTGGTCGATATCATCGCATCGTCGCTCAACCTTGAATTGCACATCACGAGGAAACAATAAGCTTTGTCATGATTATCACAGCATCTGTCATCATTAAAAACCTAGGTTTGATTCTGAAAAATGCAGCTTGCAAGGGGTGTAACAACACATTTTCTAACGTTTTTTTTTTGAGGTGTTCAACAGAATTATTACCAATTTGATTAATGAATTTGAACACCACACCGCCAACGCACTGAAAAATAGCTCTATATTTGGATCACCTCACGTAGGCCATATTGAGCGATTTTCAGCAAAATGGTTATAATTAAGAATCAATATCGCAACCGATAAACCGACGATTATTTCAGGCAGCTTCTGCGGCCAGGATCCTCGACGTTTGCGCCCCTCTTTGACAAACTTGTTGAAAATCAACGCAAATCCTGTTCATCCTGTATTCTTTTACTTATTATTTGAAAATAGGTGCTTGAGATTTGTTGCTATTTCAACTTGCGTTCCTTCTATGCGGCTCCTCACAAACTTTAAGGTTTGAAATTTAGCTCTGGAACTAAAAAAAGCTTAGAACCACTGAAAAAGAAGACTATGGAGCGCTGACGGTAAGGTGTGGGAGAATAGGTAATGAATTTGATGCTCAAAGTTTATTAAGCTTGTGCGATGAACTTGTTATCATTCCTTGGTAGGCGCTTCGACTTTATATATTGAAAGACAAACAATACTACCAAGTGGCAGTTGTGAAATGGCACAGTGTAAAAGCATATTATCACTGCATTAACAGGCAAAACAGGCAAATATTTTCACGTGAGCATTCCTGTATCATACATTCCAACCTTGACAAACGTCTTCCGATGATTACCTATGACCTCTAGTAATGAGGAAATATCAGGGAATAATCAATTTTAAAAACGAAATAAGAGTTGTTCATTTAAGATTATGTAGAGTTTAATATTACGCGAATGTATTTTCTTTTGAACTCAGGTTTAGAAGTCTCTCTCATTTCATAGTTTTTGAATTGTCATTTGACAATTGCATCCTGGTGAGTGCATGTAATTTTTGAAAATTACTGCATTTATAAAAATTGTTTGCGCCTTGCAATGACGGAATTTTAATTTGGAAACGCTCATGTGTTCGCACAATCATGCAACGAAAGTTTCCAAATTAAAATGTCAGTCTTCGACATGACATCTCCATTCATTATTCTCAACCACAAGTCGCGGCCCGGTTTCCATCGGTGAAAGGCTCGTTCTCAGGTTATTTTGAATTTTTACAAGAAGGTATAACTCAAGCAATTGCACTAACTTTCAAAAACTTCACTTTACTGTTCCAATATTACTGAGATAATTTATACTGAATCATCGCTGTATGGTTTCTTCAAAAAGCCGCAGTTTGTCGCACAAGAGCAACCTAAGTTTGTTAGATTGTTGCATTGTTATTTGCCATCCTTTGAACGTAATAAAAGTTGAATTTTAAAACAAAATAATAATCTAATAGGACGCATATTAGTATTCGGGCTGGGATATCAGTTTTGCGTTCAAACCGACCTTTAAAACTTAGCCAAAACAAATCATAGGATCCAACTAATTTAAAAATAAAATGCTTCAAATCTGCTGTTCGTGCATAAGCATTTCTCATTTTGACTCATCATTTATCGCTCAATCATTAGACCAAAGTGGGCGGAAATGGCACATTGTGATAAGGGATAAAAACAAGATTGTGGATTCACCTCAATTTTGTGGAAGATTTATATGCACAAAGCGTTTGTTGAATTGTGGTGACGTCTTTCTCTATCAGCTACCTGCATGAATGTGTTTTGTCTTTTCGGATTTCTTCGAGATATATATGAAAAACCTATTCTAACAATTATGCGTCAAGAGCTTGAAAAATATTCCATGCCACATGAAGGGACCGAATTTCGTCGTTTTGAAACTAGTTTCGTATACAATGCCAACCTTACGCAAACTACTTCTCTTGTAATAATCTTACATAAAACAATCCATTTAATCCGATCGGAATAGAAAATGTGTATATATTATGATTGTAATTCTGTCTGATGATCCTATACACTCACTATTATAGTTTATTTATTGACGATAATACAAATCTTATCAAAATGATTCATAAAAATATTTACATTAAATCTGAACTATCAACAGATTCAGAACAATTTACAAAAGTTGATTGCAAGGGCACATAAGTGGTCAGTAAGAACATACTAATCGCGTAAGTTACTAACACTGAAATATTAACTAATTTGTCGAATATTGGTTATAGTGGGATAATAATATCAAACACAACTGCAAGCTATTTAGCCAAAATCGTGACTCATATTTTTGCAGAGAAATCATGTTTGTGCCTGGTATCGCTTTGATTTCGTGATTATTAATTTGTGAATGGCAGAAATGCGATCTTGCAATTACCGAATATTTTTTTTTTACAGAAATCGCTAAATTAGCCTTTACCGACAAACAAACAAGTGATCTAGGGGAAATTTAACAAAGAAATTAGCAGATAACATCACGACTTGTAAGTTCGTAACTTGCACGAGTTTGCATTTGTATAAATAACAACCATATATTGCGGTGACCTCATGCACGGTAAAATTACTATATTTTTTCAGTTAGTTCTTGCTTTGAATTGGGTTATTACAAAATTTCAATCAAGCTTAATCTCATATTCAAGTTCATATATTTCCCAACGTGTAAACAATCTGAACTTAATCTCAAGTTTTAAATCAACCAAAATAATATAATTATCATAAAATTACGTCATATTTAGTTGTTATTTTTAAACAAGCATGTATATTGCGTACATTAAATACATTATCAAAGTTCGAAAAAAAATGAAAATATTAATAACCTTGCTAAACAAGAAAATTGTTTCTTTTGTTCACACACACTACTACAAAAATTAGACATTCATAGCATATTTTACTATTAAAAAACATATATAAAAAGATTCTTTCGTGCGACTGGAACTATGTAAACCACAAGTAGGAGCACACTTTCGTTGGGTGCAGAAGGTCAGTGACATGCACATGTATTTAATTAATGAAAAAATTGTGCTTTCGACTGCATTGATAATGTGCGGTTCGGAGATTATAAGCGCCTGAATAGAGCACACTCAATCAGGGATATAATGCGAACAATATTGATCGGAAGAAAATGTCGTTGTCGTTAACCGGTCAACGCACAGAAGTCATAAAATATTCAGTATATTATATACAATATACAATTTTGAAAATATTATGCGGAATGTACAAAATGAATTCGAATTTTTGTGATCTGTGTTCCTTGATATGGGCAATTTTCTGATATAAAATATTTTCTAAAATACGGTAGGAAGAAAACATAATTTGATATCGTTGTTGTTCTGGGTCGATAATGGCCGATGGACTTCTGTTCGAGGCATATTAATTTCATGGTTTGTACAAT